TTGTTTAGGTTAATTCTTAAGAATTTTAGTCTTTTTGATGCTATTATAAATAGAATTGGTTTCTTTTTTGGATTGTTCATTGTTAGTGTATATAAACACAATTGATTTTTTATTGAAGTATAGTTGACATACAGTAGTATATTCATTTCAGCTGTACAACATAGTGATTCAACATTTATATACATTATTAAATGATCAGCATTAAGTCTGTCACCACACACAGTTATTACAATATTATTGACTATATTCCCTATGCTGTAGTTTTCCTCCCCATGACTTTTAACTAGAAGTTTGTACCTCTTAGTTCTCTTCCATTTATTTCACCCATCCCCTCACCCCCTTCTCTTCTGGCAACCACCAGTTTGTTCTCTGTATTTATGAATCTGTTTCTATTTCGCTCATTCGTTTTGTTTTTAGACTCCACATATAAATGAAATCATATGCTATTTGTCTTTCTCTGTCTAAATTATTTCACTTAGCATAATACCCTCTAGGTCCATCCACATAGCTGCAAATGGTAAGACTTCATTCTTTTTTTATAGCTGAGTAATATTCCATTTTATGTATATGCCACATTTTCTTTATTTATTCATCTATTAATGAACTTAGGTTGCTTCCATATCTTGGCCATTGTAAATAATGCTGCAATAAACATAGGGATGCATATTTCCTTTTGAATTAGTGTTTTCATTTTCTGGGGTGAATACCCAGAAGTGGAATTGCTAGATCATACAGCATTTGTTTTTATTTTTCTGGGAAACCTCCTTACTATTTTCCATAGTGGATGCACCAATTCATATTCCCACCAACAGTGCACAGGGTTCCCTTTTCTTCACAGCTTCACCAACACCTGTTATTTCTTATTTTTTTGAGACTAGCTATTCTGACAGGTGTGAGGTGATATCTCATTGTGGTTTTGATTTGCATTAGAAACACAACTGTGGATTTGTGTGGATTCTGTACCTTATTACTTTGCTGAATTTCTTTTTTAATTATTTTTTGTGTGTGGAACCTTTAAGGTGTGGTACTTATTAGATCATGCATCTTTGAACAGAGATAATTTTACTCTTTCCAATTAGGATGGCTTCCCTCCACTCCCAGTTTGTTTAATTGCTCTGGCTAGAATTTCTAGTGCTATTTTGTTTTTTTTTGTTTTTTTTTTTTTAATTTTTATTTATGATAGTCACACACAGAGAGAGAGAGAGAGGCAGAGACACAGGCAGAGGGAGAAACAGGCTCCATGCACCGGGAGCCCGACGTGGGATTCGATCCTGGACCTCCAGGATCGCGCCCTGGGCCAAAGGCAGGCGCTAGCTAAACCGCTGCGCCACCCAGGGATCCCTCTAGTGCTATTTTGAATAGTGGCTAAATCAAGCATCCTTATCTTGTTCCGGAAATTAGAGGAAAAACTTTCTTTCACCATTGATTATGCTGTTATCTGTCAGATTTTCATGTATGGCCTTTATTATGTTGGGGTTGTTTTCCTTCTACTCCTAGTTTTTTGAGTGTCTCACCATAAAAGAGTGTCAAAATTTTATCAAATGCTTTTTTGCATCAGTTGAAGTGGATCATTTCAGTCCACTTAAGTGGCATATATGACATTATATTAGTCATAATGTTAGTGTCATATATGACATTCATTAGTCATATTAATTTTCATATGTTGAACCATGGTTGCATACCAAGAATAAATCCTATTTAGTATGTATTCTTTTAATATGCTGCTGGATTCAGTTTTCTCGTATTTCGATGAGGACTTTTGTATCGATATTCATAAAGGATATTAGTCTGTAGTTTTCTTTTCTGGCAGTGTCTTTGTCTGGCTCTGGTATCAGGACAAAAATAGCATCATAGAATAAGTTAGAATGTGTTCTCTCCTTTTCAGTTCTTTGAATTTGACAATTGGTATTAGTTACTTAACATTTAGTAGAATTCACCAGTGAAGCCATCAGCTCCAGGGCTTTTCCTTGTCCACAGGTTTTTTATTACTGATTTAACCTTACTACAGTTCTACTCAGACTTTCTATTTCTTATTGATTCAATCTAGGTAAGTTTTGTGTTTCTAGGTGTTTGTCAATTCCATCCAGGTTATCCAATTAGTTGGTTATCCAGTTGTTCCTGGTACCATCTTTTAATCCTTTTGGCTTCTGTGGATTCAGTAGAAATGTCCCCGGTTCATTTCTAACTAGAAATTTGAATCTTCTTTCTTTTTTTTCAGTCTATATAATGGTTTCTCAATCATGTCACTCTCTTTGAAGAAGCAACTTTTGGGTTTATTTCCACTATATTTTTCTCTTCTCTATCTCTGCTTTAATCTTTATTATTTCCTTCCATCTGACAGTTTGGGGTTGCTTGTTCTTCTTTTGCTAGTTCCTAAAATTGTGAAGTAGGTGATTGGTTTGAGGTCTCTCTTCCCCTGGGTGGCGCAGCGGTTTGGCGCCTGCCTTTGGCCCAGGGCGCGATCCTGGAGACCCGGGATCGAATCCCACTTCGGGCTCCCGGCGCATGGAGCCTGCTTCTCCCTCTGCCTGTGTCTCTGCCTCTCTCTCTCTCTCTCTCTCTCTGTGTGTGTGACTATCATAAAAAAAATTAAAAAAAAGAAATTAATGTGTTTACAGAGATTAATTTGTCCCTTAGCACACCCTTTACTGCCAGTATGCAGCATTGTGTGTTGTGCCTTAGCTTTTGTTCATCTAAGTATATTCTAATTTCCCTTGTGATTTCTTCTTTGATCTATTGTTTATTTCCACAAATTTGTGAATGTTTCAGTTTGCCTTCTGTTGTCTCTAAATGATATTTTAAATTAATGCATCACATTTTTAAGTATATTCTGCTGGTATTTACGTTAAATGCACTATCTGGAGGTTGTGGTAATTTTCATTGATCAGTCAAGGTACATTCCACACCTTTTGAGGCCAAGTCTATCTATGGCAATGCTTGAAAGGTGAAAAGACATGTTAACTTTCAAGCTAAGATTTTCTTACACCAGGGTTTAAGAAAGCTTTGTGAAGTTTATTCCTACATTTCCAGCACGCAACACTACAAACCTGAGGTATATTTAAGATGTAATACTGGCAAGAGAAGAGAGAGAACCTAACTGTGGAAAAGAGAAAGAAATGAGGGAAGGCTTCCTGGAGGAGTGACATATGAGCTAAGACTGTCCAATAGCAGGAAAGGAGTCAGAGAGAACAGCACACTCTCCATTTCCCCAATGTTTTCTGTCTCCGCAATGCCTCCACCTGAGGCCTTCCCCACTAGTGAGTTTCTGCCCCTCCCTGGACCCCACAAGAAGTATCACCTCCACGGAAGCCTTCATGTTCCCCCCCTCCTCCAGCTGCCAGCAGGATTGATTGCTTTCTCCACCCTCTCTAAAGATCACTGAATCACCCCTTAGCATTGAGTCACGTTTTATATACTTATGTATATCTATGCCTGTTTACTTTTTTTCTTTTCCCTGTGAAGGGCCTATTGCTTAATGTTCAGAGATCATTTGGTTGAATCCTCTCCTCTCATAGGTGAGAACACAGAAAGGTTCTGTGCCTAACTCTCTATTACAAAAGATAGTTTTTAAAAATCCAGCCCTGGGATCCCTGGGTGGCTCAACGGTTTGGCGCCTGCCTTTGGCCCAGGGCGCGATCCTGGAGACCCGGGATCGAATCCCACGTCGGGCTCCCGGTGCATGGAGCCTGCTTCTCCCTCTGCCTGTGTCTCTGCCTCTCTCTCTCTCTCTCTCTCTAAGTAAATAAAAATCAAAAAATTTTTAAAAAATTAAATAAAATAAAAATCCAGCCCTGAGGTGAACTGTTTTGACGAGAATAGCTAGAACCATGCATATTAAATATATTGCCAAAGGTTAAAAATAAGGGCACCTGGATGACTCAACCGGTTGAGGTCCGCTTTTGGCTCAGATTAGGATCTATGGTTAGAGCTCCCTTCAAGAGCTCCCACCTCAGAGGGGTCTCTGCTTCTCCCTCTTCCTCTGGCCCTCTGCTCCGTTTTCTCTCTCTCTCAAATGAATAAACTCTTCTTTTTTTTAAAGTTCAAAATAGCCAAGTCAAAACCAATGAATCACTATTTTGTAAAAACTTTTGTACACATACTAAAAATAGTTAGCAAACCGGGAGCTGTCAAACCAGAGCACAGAATGAGACTCAGGGGTATACTGTTATAAAATAGCCTATGCCGTGAGAAAGCGGTGACTGTTTTTCCCAGATTGCCTACAATATAATCTTCAGTGGTTTCTTCACATCAACCATGGGAAACAGTCAAATGTTGCTTACTTCCAGAAGAGCAAGCAAGAAATGATCTTGGCCAAGATAGCCTTGCAAATGCAAAATAGGCTAAATTAAGCTTTGTTTGCATGATCAAACTGGCTAGTTTGCTTATAATTTTCAAAGCTGGTCTCCTTCGGTTTTGACTGTAACAGACCCAATCTCTCAGTCAATGCAATGCACCCAGCAAAAGTTCCACGAATACAAAGCAGCGCTATCTGGGCGGCACTAGGACCCCAGGGGCACCCCGCCGGCGGGTGGTGGCGCCCGTTAGACGTTCGGCGAGAGCGGGGAGCCGTGGGTGGGCGGGCGAGGCGGTAGGGGAGGCCGACGGAGGCGGCCGTCCCGATCCGCCCCGCGGGCCGCGAGGAGGTGCTCAGGTGTGCGGGGAATGGGGTCCGGCAACCCCGGCTCGGTCGCCGCTCCCCGCAGCGCACGTTCCCGTCGCGGCGACGCTGAGGGCCCCGGCCGTCTCCCGGGGCGCGGCGCGCGGTGGACAGGCATGTCGTAACCGCGAGAGGAGAGCGCGCGCTTCCGCGGGGAAGCGCAGAACACGCGGGGCACCGAGCTGGGGCGGCGGCGGGGCCTAGGACCTGTCGGAGCGAGTCCCCGGGCGGACGCGAACGGAGGGGCGGGGCGAGGGCGGGGCGAGGGCGGGGCTCGCCGGCGCGGCCGCGTGGGGCGGGGCTTGAGGGGCGGGGCGAGCGAGGGCGAGACCGGAAGGGGCGGGACCGAGAGACCGCGCTGTCTGGGCTGGCCTCTGGAGGCTGGGAGGTGCAGACGGGCGCATCAGGACAGCGTTGTGGGAAGAAACGCCGGTGGGGAAGGCGGATCTGAGATATTCGAGGGACCCCAGGTTACTCTAAAGCATCTGGAGCCGACGAGAAGGCGCTGGTTTCCGAGGGGGGAATCCTGGGAGACGAGAGCAAAGGAGTGAATCGCAGGAACCCGGACAGCTGTGTTGTTTAACCCAGAACAGCCTGCCAAGGAAACCAGAAGGTGAAGAGCAGATACTAGGAGAAGCGCCCCGAGAAGTGTTCCAGAAGCTGAGGTTGAGAGGGTGACAGTGACTTAACAAGATGAAGGAAAGGCAGGTTGAACTGTGTGTTTGGAAATCAGGGAGACTTGGGGAGGCTGGCTGGCTGCAGGATGGGGAGCAGGAGAGTACCAAGGGGGGCTGAGAAGTAAGGGCGGTGAGGAGGAGTGTGAAGCCTAAGCCCCTTGGGGGCTGGGATGGCATTTTACCTTGATTTCCCGTCGCTGGTACATAGTGTTGGAGCTAAATGCCATTTTCTTGAAGGTGATTAGCTTCCGGATAGCAGAGTGCTGGATGCCAGCCTGAGGAGTGTGGATTTATCTTCTAGGCCAATGAGTCCCAAGTCCTGCTCACCGGAATCTCCTAGAAACCTTGCCTGAAGCACAGATTCCCCAAATCACTGCCCAGAGATTCAGATTCAGTGGGTGGCGAGGTCTGGAAATCTGTTTTCTTAATGAGTTCCCAACTGATTCCCATGTAGCCAGGTAACACCTGGCAGATCCTGAAGATTTCTTTTTTTCAGTTTTATTGAGGTGTAATTGACAAATAGGAATTATAAATATATTAATTATATATGTTTAAGGTGTTCAACTTGATGTTTTGATATATTTCTACATCGTGAAATGATTACGCAATCGAGCTAATTAACATACCCATCATCTCAGACAGTAGCCAGTGTCTGTCTGTGTGTGTGTGTGTGTGTGTGTGTTGACAACACTCGAGGTCTACCCTGAACACATTTCAAGTATGCAGTACAGTATTGTTAACCATATCACCACGCTCTACGGTAAGATCTCCAGAACTTAATCATCTTGGATAATTGAAAATTTCTACCTTTTGACCAATTGCTCCCCATTTCCACCTCCCTCTAACCCCGAGTTACCACCATTCTGCTCTCTGCTTCTAGGAGTTTAACTATCTTAGATTCCACATGTGACTAAGATCATGCAGTATTTGGCTTTCTGTGTCTGCCTTTTTTTACTTAGCATAATGTTAGCTATATAGCTCGTTAGCATATGTATTATGTATAATAACATAATATTTTAATATACAAAATATATTCATACGTATATACAACGGATATATACTTAGAAGTGGGATTGCTGGATCATATGGTAGTTCTATTTTTAAATTTTTTGAGAACTCTCCACAGTGTTTTCCATAATGGTTGTACCAATTTACATTCCCTCTACCAGTGTACAAGGATTGCCTCTTCTCCACATCCTTCCTTAGCAACACTTGCCTTTTGTATTTTGATAATAGCCATTCTAACACATGTGAGATGCTGTCTCCCTTCGTATGTCGAGCTTTTCCCATTTTTCTTCTGAATTTTATGGTTTCAAGTCTTACATTTAAGTCTTTAATCCATTTTGAGTTGATTTTTGTATATGGTATGAGACAAGGGTCTAGTTTCATTCTTCTGCATACAGATATCCAATTTTCCGAACAATATTGAAGAGACTCTCCCTTCCCCATTGGGTATTTTTGAAACTCTTGTTGAAGACTAATTCACCATCGATGCACTGATTTATTTCTGGGCCCTCTATTCTGTTCCATTCACCTATATGTCTGTTTTTATACCAGTAGCATACTGTTTTGATAACTTTGTGGTGCATTTTGAAGTTAGGTGGGGCCTCTCTCCCATGGGGCTAAGAGGTCCCTTTTCTCCTTAGCCAGGGATGGAGGCCAAGATCAGCCTTTGAGGATCATTGTCAGGGCTGCCACAAGCTGGCAGCCTTGTTTTCCTGCCTCAGACATCTGTAGTTGCTGGGAGCCCCTGCTTGATCTATATCAAGCATGCTAGCCCCACAGCCAGACTAGGGTCTGAACTGGCAGCATGGAGCCTCTGGCTCTCTTTACATAGTGCCAGGCTCTCATGAGCTGATCCTGGCCTGTGTTGCCCCAAAAGTAACTTGGCCCCTGCCTACTCTATAGGCAACACCTAACACACCTAAACAGGTAGTCGTCTACCTCAAAGATGCCTGTGAAGGAGTGGGGCCTCTCACCTCCTGCTTTCCTACTAAACAACTTCTTTGGCCCCAGGGGATTCACTGGGAGAGGAGAGGGCTCCAAAAGTGGGGGACTTCTGTTGTAAAAGAGGCTTCTGAGGCCACCTCGCTCAGGGAGGGTCACCATTTTTCCCTGTGTGGATTAGCTTGGGTGTTACCAGACCACTCCATCCACCTACTCAGAGTTGTGTCTCCTGCAGAGAGTCCCATACAGCATTGTGAGGCACGGGATGGTGAGGAAGAGTCATGAGTGGGTGCTGGAGAAGGAGCACCACAGACATCAGGACAAAGAATCAGACCTGACACTCACTGCATCAGCCCCAAGTGCAAGTCCCGTTTATAAGCAGTTTATTATATCCAATTGGACAGTTTGGGCTTCCCACATTTGCCATGTCAAGTTTTCTGTGTTGAAGTACTTTCATCAGCTGACAAAATAACGTTTTAGAAAAGTTTTAAAGTTCTAACAGTTTTTCTTCACTAATAAAAATTCTGAAAGCAGGATGCCTGGGTGGCTCAGTGGTTGAGCATCTGCCTTCGGCTGGGGTCGTGATCCCGGGGTCCTGGGATCGAATCCCACATCAGGCTCCCCGCATGGAGCCTGTTTATTCCTCTGCCTGTGTCTCTGCCTCTCTCTCTGTGTCTCTCATGAATAAATAAATAAATTCTGAAAGCATCTTTTTTTTTTTTTGTCCTAAAAGCAATAATCCACTTTCTGTGGGGAAAAAAAATAGGAAGATTGTTTTGACTATTTGGGATGTTCTGTGCCTCATGTAATTAAGATTATTTTTTTTATTATCTGTAAAGAATACCATTGGGATTTTGATATGAATTGCACTGAATCTGTAAATCACCTTGGGTGGTCTGGACATTTTAACAGTATTCTCCCAATCCATGAACATTGAAGTCTTTTCATTTATCTGCATCTGCTTTGGTTTCCTTCATCAATGTTTTACAATTTTCAGTGGCCAAGTTTTTCATCTCTTTGATTAAGTTTATTACTAAGTATTTTAGTCTTTTTGTTGCTATGTGATTAAGATTGTTTCCTTAATTTTCTTTTCAGATAATTCATTGTTAGTGTACAGAAACCTCACTGATTTTCATATGTTGATTTTGTTTCCTACAACTTTACTGGATTCATTTATTAGTTCTAATAGTTTTGTTGTTGTTGAATCTTTGTAATTTTCTAAATATATGATCATGTCATCTGAAAACAGAGATAAATTTATATCTTTCTTTCTGTTTTGAATGCCTTTCATTTCTTTTCCTTGTCTAATTGCCCTGGCTAGGATTTCCAGTACTATGTTGAGTAGAAGTGGAGAGAGTGTGTATCCTTGCCTTATATCAGATCTTAGAAGAAAAGCTTTCAGGTTTTCGTCATTGATTATGATGTTAGCTGTGGGGGCTTTTAATATATGGTCTTTATTGTGTTGAGGTAAGTTCCTCTACATCTATTTTGCTTATAGTGTTTATTCCAAATGGATGTTGTCAAATGCTTTTTCTGTGTCTGTTCATCTGTGATGAGATGATGATGTTTATCTTTCATTCTGTTAATATGGTGTGTCACATTGATTTACCATTATTGAACCATCTTTAATCCCACAGATAAATCCCACTTGGTCATGGTGTATAATCCTTTTAATGTGCTGTTGAATTGGTTTGCTAATATTCTATTGAGTATTTTAACATCTGTGTTCATCAGGGATATTGGTCTGTGGTTTTCTTTTCTCGTGTTGTCTTTGTCTAGCTTTGGTATTAGGGTGGTGGTGGGCTCATAAATGGTTTGGAAGTGTTCCTTCCTTTTTTTGGAAGAGTTTTAGGATGATTGATACTAATTTTCTTTGAATGTTTGATAGAATTCACCCATGAAGCCATCTGGTCCTGGGCTTTTCTTCTTTGGGAGGTTTTTAATTACTCCTTCAATTTTCTTATTTGTTATTGGTCTGTTCAGCCTTTCCATTTCTTCTCAATTCCTCTTGTTATATGTTTCTTTTTTTTTTCCAATTGTTATATGTTTCTAAGAGCTTCTCCATTTCTTCCAGGTTATCCAATTTGTTAGCATATCATTGTTCATAAAGTTCCCTATGGTTGGGACACCTGGGTGGCTCAGCAGTTGAGCATCTATGCCTTTGGCTCAGGTCGTGAACCCATGGTTGCGGGATCAAGTCCCACATCGGGCTCCCCATATGGAGCCTGCTTCTCCCTCTGCCTCTATCTCTGCCTCTCTCTGTGTGTGTCTCTCATAATTAATTAATTAATTAATTAATTAATTGGTTAATAAAATTCCCTATGGTCTTGTTTATTTCCGTGGCATCCATTTAATGTCTGCTCTTTTGTTTCTGATTTATTTCAGTCTTCTCTCTTTTTTGTCTTGTTAAGGGTTTATCAATTTTTTTATTCTATCCTCTATTTTATTTATTTTTGCTGTATTATTTCTTTCTATCTTCTAACTGGCAGTTTGGTTTGTTCTTTTTCTAGTTCCTTAAGGTGTAAAGTTTGATTGTTTATTTGAGACCTTCTTTTTTTTTTTTACTAAAAACTTCCCTCTTAGTATTACTTTTGCTGCATCCCATAAGTTTTAGTGTGTTGTGTTCTCTTTTTTCTTTTTCTTTTTTTTTTTCCACTGAAAAGTTTTATTTTATGCCTTTTGGATAGAAATGGGAATTTATTTGCCAGGAAGGATGATCCCATCACACTTCTACTGCAACCAGCACATGGCATCTCTGCTGATTCTGTGTTTGGCCCCAATGCAGCCTGTCCTGCGCTTCTTGTCTGCAGTGCTGAAACCTAGCCTACACAGAAGTCCAGGCCATAGATACCAATGCTTGGGTCATATTTAATCCCCAGATCAGTGTGCTCCTGGATCCCCAAACCAAAGTTTCCAGTATCAGAGAGGTTATTTTTCTTTAACTCATACTCTAGCACCTTTAGACCTTTCTCCAAGATTTCTTCTGCCTTGGACCTAAGGACTGTGCAGTGGACAGCAATCTTTTCATTTCTCCCAATACCAGGGAATCGCACTATGTATCTAGCTTTGGAGAACACAGAGTTGACCTGTGAGCTACTCCAGCACCTTGGCTGCCTGGGTCAGTCTCTCTCCACTCTCCCCCACACAGATGTTGAGTCAGAACTTGCAGATGTGAAGTTCCACATGGGGTTCTCCTTTCTACCTTAATCCTGTGCCATGGTGGAGAACAGCATATATTGTGTTTTCATTTTCCTTTTCTGAAGATATTTTTAAAAATCCCTTTTGACCAATGGTTGTTGAAGAGTGTGGTCTTTAGTTTCCATGTATTTGCGAATTTTCCCATTTTCTCATTGCTTTTGGGTTTGTTTCATTCTATCATGATTGCAAAAGATACTTGGTATGATTTTGGTCTTCTTAACTTTGTTAACTTTGTTTTTTGACCCAGCATGTGTTTAATCCTGGAGAATGTTCTGTGTATGCTTGAGAAGAATATGTATTCTTATGCTGTTGGATAGAAAGTACTATGTGTGTCTTTTAAGTCCATTTATTCTATAGTGTTGTTTAACTCCACTGTTTATTGATTTTCTGTCTGGAAATTCCATTCAGTATTGAAAGTGTGTTGAAGTCTCCTACTATTATTGTATTGCCATCAAGTTCTCCTTTCAGACCTGTCAATATTTGCTCTTTATACTTAGGTGCTCTGATGTTGGATGCATTTATATTCAAAATTGTTATATCTTCCTATTGAATTGACCCTTTTATCTTAATGTAATGACCTTCTTTGTCTCTAAAGACAGGTTTTAATTAAGGTCTATTTTGTGTGATATAATCATAGCTACCCTTACTTTCTTTTGGTTACTATTTGCTTGGAGTATCTTTTTTTTTTTTCATTCCTTCATTTCAGCTTCTGTGTATCTTTAAACCTAAAGGAAGTTTCTTGTAAACTGCATGTAGTCGGATCTTGGGTTTTTTTTTTTTTAATTTTTTTAATTTTTATTTATTTATGATAGGCACACAGTGAGAGAGAGAGAGGCAGAGACACAGGCAGAGGGAGAAGCAGGCTCCATGCACCGGGAGCCTGACGTGGGATTCGATCCCGGGTCTCCAGGATCGCGCCCTGGGCCAAAGGCAGGCGCTAAACCGCTGCACCACCCAGGGATCCCTGGATCTTGGGTTTTTTTAATCCACTTAGTCACTCTTTGTCTTTTGATTGGGGGGTTAAACCATTTACATTTACAGTAATCATTGATTGAGAATGATTAAGTGTTACCATTTTGTTCATTGCTTTCTGTTTGTCCCAATTTTAGTATATGTGCTGCTGAAGCAAGCACACTTTCTGTTTGTCTTATAGTTCTTTGTCCCTCTTTTTCTCTACCTTCCTTTGTGTTTATCTTTTTTTGTATTGATAGGCTTTAGTTATTTCCTTTTTCTTTTGTGTAGCTTCTATACGTATTTTCTTTGTAGTTATAATGGGGCTTATATAAAATATTTTCTAGTTATAACACTCTGTTTTAAGCTGATAACAACTTAATATCACTTGCATACAAGAACTCTACACTTTTACCTCTCCCGCCCCCACATTGTATGTTATTGATATCATAGATTATATGTATTTTTATATGTATTTATATTGTGTATCCATTAATATGATTTTAGTTATAGTTATTTTAATGCTTTTGTGTTTTAACTTTTACACCAGAATTAAAAATGATTTTCTCTGGCAGCCCTGGTGGCACAGCAGTTTAGCACTGCCTGCAACCCAGGATGTGATCCTGGAGACCCGGGATCAAGTTCCACGTCAGGCTCCCTGCATGGAGCCTGCTTCTCCCTCTACCTGTGTCTCTGCCTCTCTCTCTCTCTCTCTCTCTCTCTCTGTGTGTCTCTCATGAATAAATAAATAAAATCTTAAAAAAAATATTTTCTCATCACTGTTACAGTGATATAACATTCCATATTTGTATTTTCACCTTTACCAATATGTTTCATACTTTCTTAAGTTATCATTTTTTATAGCATTCTTTCATTTCACTTCCCTCTAACATTTTTTATAAGGCAGGTCTTAGTGGTGATGGACTTCCTCAGCATTTGTTTGTCTGAGAAAGTCTTTATCTTCCCTTCTTTTTCGAAGGACAGTTTTGCTGGATAAAGCATTCTTAGTTGGCAGGGTTTTTTTCTTTCAGCACTTTAAATATATCATCATCCCACTCTTTTTGGCCTGCCATATTTCTGCTGAAAAATCTACTGGTAGTTTTATTGGTGTTTCTCAGTATGTGAAAGTTGCCTTTTTCCTGCTGCTTTCAAAATTCTCTTTGTCTTTGACTTTGATAATTTAATGTGCCTCAGTGTGGGTTTCTTTGAGTTCATCTTCTTTAATATTCTTTAGGCATCTTGGATCTGGATGCCTATTTCCTTCCCCAGTTTTGGGAAGTTTCCAACATTATTTCTTTGAATAAGCATTCTGCCCCTTTGTCTATCTTCCTCCTCTAAGACTCCCATAATGTGTATATTGAGCCATTTGATGATGTCTCAAATCCCTTAAGCTATCTTTATTCATTCTTTTTTCTTTTGGCTTCTCTGGATGATTTCCAGTGACTTGTTTTCTTTTTTCTTTCTTTCTTTTTTTTTTTTTTCTGTGACTTGTTTTCAATTTCACTGATCCTTTCTTCTACTTGCTCTAGTCTGCTGTTGAACACCTCTGTTGAATTTTTCAGTTCAGTTATTGGGTTTTCAACTCTATGATTTCTGTTTGATACTTTTAAATTTTTCTCTTTGTTGAAATTTTCACTTTCTTCATGCTTTGCTCTCCTAACCTCAGTGAGCATCTTAATGACCATTATTCTGAATTCTCTGTGGAGTGAATCACATATCTCCATTTCATTAGGATTGATTTCAAGATATTTATATTGTTCATTTGTTTGGAATATATTTCCTTGTTTCTTCATTTTCTTTGACTCTATTGATGCCTGTGCTTTAGAAAAAATAGCCACCTCTCCTAGTCTTCATAGACTGGCTTCATACAAGAGATGACCCTTGCCAGTCATCCCAACCAAAGATTAGGAGGGTCTTTCAAATCTTTTTTTTTTAAAGATTTTATTTATTTATTCATGAGAGACACACAGAGAGAGAGGCAGGACACAGGCAGAGGGAGAAACAGGCTCCACACAGGGAGCCCGACGTGGGACTTGATCCTGGGTCTCCAGGATCACGCCCTAGGCTAAAGGTGGCACTAAACTGCTGAGCCACCGGGGCTGCCCGGGTCTTTCTAATCTTTTTTTTTTTTTTAATTTTTTTTATTTGTTTGTGATGGTCACAGAGAGAGAGAGGCAGAGAGGCAGAGACACAGGCAGAGGGAGAAGCAGGCTCCATGCACCGGGAGCCCGACGTGGGACTCGATCCCGGGTCTCCAGGATTGCGCCCTGGGCCAAAGGCAGGCGCCAAACCGCTGCGCCACCCAGGGATCCCCTCTTTCTAATCTTAATGTGTGTTTCCAAACCACTGTCTGTGTTCTTAGCAGCCACCAGGAATCTAGAGTGTGACAAGTCCTATTAGTGCTCCAAGAAAGGTGAGGTAGAAGCCAATTCCCTGAGTAGTAGCTGGAAAAGTTGGGTGCTGCATGAGTGATCCAAGGAACATTCTTTCCTCAGGGATATTCTGGGAGTTAGAATTTATCACTCATTCTGCACTAGGCCAAGAAGAAGAGCTGTGACAAATGTCTGTATTCTTGTTCAGACCAACCACATACTTTTAAACCATTGCTTTGCTCTCTGTAGCCCCCAGTGGCCTAGTGAATGTCAAGCCCTGTCAGCTCTCAGAGACTGGTGAGTTGGAAGCGAGTCTTTCCTGTAGCATCTGGAAAAGTTGCAAGGCTAGATATATATTCCATCTCCTTCCAGGAAGAAACTGGAGGCTTGATTTTACTTCTGGAACAAGCCAGGGGGAAGAGCTGCAGAAAGAGCCCACATCCTCATTCAAGCTTTCAGGAGACTAGTGATTACCTGCCTTATCAGCTCCCAGAAACAAGTAAGTTAGAGGCTAGACCTTTGGGCATTAGTGAGAAAAGTCAGGATGCTAGATATGCAGTCTAATTCCTTCCAGGGAGATGTTGGATGCTGCGCTTTATCACTCAAGTGAACCAGGGAAGAAGGAGCCATAGGAGGAGCCCATAGACCTATTCAAAACCACCACTTGTTCTCTGTAGTCCCGAGGAGACTAGACCACCTGTATCTACTAGCCTAATTACATCATTTATATTTTAAACAGCTAGAAATCAACTCTATAATGAAAATGTCTAAGAAACAATAATCTCATGTGCCATTAGCTTTTCTCTTTACAATTTTTAAAAATATTTTATTTATTGATTTCATGAGAGACACAGAGAGAGGCAGAGACATAGGCAGAGGGAGAAATAGGCTCCCTGCAGGGAACCTAATGCAGGACTCTATCCTAGAACCCCAGGATTATAACCTGAGCCAAAGGCAGATGCTCAACCACTGAGCCACCCAGGTGCCCTCTCTTTACAATTCTTAGTCAAGCCTAAAGTGAACATCTAGAGAATGGACCTCTGACAGATTTCTAGGTCTCTAGACCATCATCTAGAGAATGGACCTCTATAGCACCTGAGCCTTCTTGTCTACCATGTGACAGATTTCTATCCAGGCTACATTCAACCCCACTGGTTCCTGAATGGACAGCAGGAAAACAGCTAGAGTTATGTCCACCAACCTGATCCTAATAAAGACTGGATCTTCCAGATCCTGGTGATACTGGCAATGACCCTTCACCAGAGAGATGGACACACTTGCCAAGTAGAGCACCCCAGCCTGGATGGTCCTGTCACTGTGGAGTGGAGTGAGTTACTCCCTGAGTTAGGCCCTAAATTCTGAAAAACAGGGAATATTCTAGTTCCGGGATCTACTCATTTTGTCACATGTCTATACGTGGGGGTCATACCTATCTCCATCTTTTTCCTAGAGAAGTCCCTGAGAATAGTTTAGAGCTGGCGCAGCAGAGACTTGCCCACCCTGTCCTAGGAAATACTAATGATTCATAGATCTCTGCCCATGTCAGAAAACCTAGGAAACTCAAACACCTTCCTGAATTATCCTCACATGTGAGAACTGTTAAATGCCTTCAGCCTTTTAGCTTATGTGAGTTATTTTGAGAGGCAGCTACCAGAATCAGCATGTGTGTGTCCTTTTGGAAGTCACAGCCTAATTTTCGGAACTTGGGGGTCCTTTCTAAATTTCTTCCTTCAAGTTTTATATCTCTCACAGACCTCATATTGGTATTCTATATTAAGCCCCAGAATCTCAGACAGTACGTGAGGGGTGGTGCAGCAGGTAGAGGTGAAAATGACCCCTGGTCTGTGTTTCCCTGAGATACACTGATTCTGCTCAGAGAAATACTGGCTACTCTCAGGCTTTGTGCTAGGGCTCATCTTCCTTGTAGTGAGCATCTGAGTGCATACTAGGAGCAAGAGAGGTAAGAAAACCTGAGAGATGGCTGAGATTTGCTTTCCCCTGACTTACTCATCCATCTTCAATGATAAATAACTGATACAGAAAAACAATACCAGAGAATCCTGGAGTTCACTGAAATCAGATTGTTGGGAAGTAAAAATGGCTTGTAGGAAGAGAGAAATCCCAGGCCGGAATTTTATCCCAACCAGATGTATGGAGTCTCCAAATACTCTGGTCATGTCTAAGTTCATTTAGTAATGAATTAGTCTTCAGCCAGCCTCTGCCTTACTTCCCAGTGATTGGACCATGGCAATGGAGATGAGATGGGAAAGTTTATCTAATTGTCTAAGATTCTGTTAATAGGTGAATACATTCCCTTTTCTCCTTTCATTATTCTGTGATGAGGATCTTGAAAACCAGGTAATACTCCTGCTTCTTTTTCTTGGGAGTGGGTTGCAGAAAGTCCTTTCATTGCATCCTGACTCTGAGACTCCTACTGGGAAGAAGCATACAAGTGTGGAAATGAGCATTACTTTGCTCCATTAAGAAGGAAGCCCAGAGAAACTCTTATTTTTCATCAGGCTAAGACTCAATCTCTCACGAAATTTCTCTTTCCTGAGATTTAGAGTAAGAAATGTCAACAACCTGAGATAACTTTTCCTTTTACCTCCTCTAGGGTTCCTGATCTGACCCAAAGACCTGCATGTGACCTGGAACAAGCATTTTTCTATCTTTCCTCAGTCCCAGAGGCTGGTTCCGGAAAAGACCTCAGCCTTCCAAGAGCATGTTACTGCCAAGTAATTGCTCTGAAACTAGTTTCTATAGTTGTTCTCTTTGATTCCATGCACACTTTCTCTCGGGGCTTCTATCCAAGTTCCTTTAGGGTAGTTCCATGAGTAATAAAAAGCCAATGTTAAAGCATATTCTCTTAAGAATATATACCAAGTCATCTCTGCCACTGCCTTTGTGTGAGGATTTTGGTAAACAGTAGGAGTTCATGAAGAAGTTCATTGTTGTGTATACACAGGCAAGAAAGAAAATGTGAAAAGGGGATATTCTAACTATTGGGAAGGGTGGCAAATTTGACATGGACCTCCTCTGAATTCACACTCTATCTTTGGGCTGCCCCATATTTGTATTTGATACTTTCATTCCTGGAGGCCTGGGACCATTCTTAGTTATTCAAGGATGAGCAGATGGTGAATACAGCACTAACTCAACATACATGAAGACTGTTTTACCATTACCATTAAGAAATCAAATTAAGGGGTGCCTGGGTGGCTAAGTTGGTTGAGCATCTGACTCTTGATTTCCTCTCAGGTCATGCTCTGAGGATCCTGGAATGGAGCCCCGTATCAGGTTCTACACTCAGCAGGGGGCAAGGAGGTTTGGCTTCTCTGCTTCTCTCTCTCTCTCTCTCTCTCTCCTGCCCCTCCCCCCTCTAAAATAAATAAATAAATCTTTTTAAAAAATCAAATTAAGATCAGAATTTAAAATTGGAAATATAATGTAATAAACCTAAACCCTTTTCTTTGATACCGTGATAGTCTTTGACCAAACAAGGCTTAGCCTTTTTTTTTTTTAACATTTTATTTATTTATTCATGAGAGACAGGCAGAGACATAGGCAGAGGGAGAAGCAGTCTCCCTGCAGGAAGCCTGATGTGGGACTCGATTCCAGGATCCCAGGATCACAACCTGAGCCAAAGGCAGATGCTCAACCACTGAGCCACCCAGGCGCTCGCAGGCTTAGCCTTTTTAATGCAACAATTTATAGAAGATGCGTCATCAGACCACCAGGCTTCCTGTCGTAGTAATTCACTTAGTGTTAAAATGCTCAAAGAAATAGATGCAGTTCTCTTTTTTAAACATACGTCTGCTTTTACAATCCAAAATGATTACAGGTTTTCTGTTTCATATGAAATTTTCCTGAAAGCCGAGCTAGATTCTAAGTAGTTCTTTTTGCATAAAGCATGGAGTATGACCTCCTGAGGCACATACTGGGGACTCAGAAGATCTCTGACACACCCAGGTGATGCCTCCTCTCTCCCTGCCTCCTCACAAGCAGCTCTTGCCTCTTGTTTGCCCCGGGGCCCCCCTGCTCCATCAATTCCCACTGCTTGCTCCTCTCACGCTGCTCCCCTCCCATCATGCCCTGCATGGGACCAGCTTCCCCCATTTCCAAGAGAGGTTGAGGCTGAAGATGCAGAAGTGGGTGTTACTGACACAGGAGTTAGCATAGCTGGGGTCTGCAGAAAGGTTGGGGTGATTAAGTGTGGGAGCCCAGGAAGAAAGGCCCTGAGCATGGCAAACCAACTATAACTCCCATAACTCATTATGTATGTGCATTGCTTTGTTTAATTCTAATTACTCAGGGATAAGGACATGGTTTTTTCTTTACTTATCTGTTCCAGGTGCATCTGCAGTGGCCACTGTGAGCCAGACAGTGAGGAGAAAATGAGGCAGAGCAGGGCAGGGAGGAGCTCTGAATCCAGGATTCATTTCCCTATCTGGTGAAGGGAGAAGAGGTGGAAGTGAAACCGCTCAACAGGGCTCACCCAACCAGAAAACATCAGAAGGGGCATCTCAGTGTCTGGGAAACAAGCTAGAACCAACATAGCTGAGAAAGCCCCAACCTATGTGGGGTTCAGGGGTAAGAGGAAGAAAATAAAAATGGAGACATGATAATCACCTTCCTTTCAATGGAGTTGATAGGAAATACATCTTTGAAATTGATCAAATTAAAACGATTTTTAATTTGTAAGTAGCTTGTGAATAGATAATTTTCTTCATGATTTCATGTTGATTTTTTGTATCAATATAATAATCCACTTGATTGTTATTAAATAATGTTATATTTTACCCTTTTGTTCTTTTAATAATTTTGGAGGAATCTGATAATAATTTGATGTTTCCAGACATATAATCAGAATGCAGAAAATATTTCACTTCTAAATATTATTTCTTTTTTTCTGTTTTAAATTTTTTTTTAAGATTTTATTTATTTATTTCTGAGAATACACAGAGAGGAGAGAGAGAAGCAGAGACACAGGCAGAGGGAGAAGCAGGCGCCATGCAAGGACCCTGACATGGGACTCGATCCCGGGTGTCCAGGATCAGGCCCTGGGCCGAAGGCAGCGCTAAACCACTTGAGCCACCCGGGCTGCCCTTTTTTTCTGTTTTATTTCTTCTTGAAATTTTTATCTTCTTTATACAAGATGTCTCTAATATTTTACTACTTAGTATAAAATTAATTCTTTGCTTTATAAATTTTTAAAAAATAAATATGTCTTTTTTACAAATTTGTGTAGGACTGTAGTAAAAACCCCTGATACTTCTTAACAAAATGATAGAACTTAATTGTTAAAATTAATTGTATGTTGTATTTATTCAACTGTTTTTGTTTTGAATTAAACTTGCAATATAATAATGGACATTTCTTGATTCCTTACTATGTGCAAGACTCTGTCTTAAGAGCTATACAAATACTGAGTATTATCCCAATTAGATTTCCCAATAAACCAATGACATTCACTCCATAGTAATCTCCATTCTACATGAGAGGAAACTAGTCACAGTGGGTTAAAAAAAAAAAAATCAGGAACACATATCTGGAATCACCTGTAAATTAGTTCTCACAATATATTGTGAGAACTATATTTGATGTTTAAAAATTCCACATCCTCCAAAAAATATTAAAATGCAAAGAAAGTATGGACCCCAAAGGTTAAAGGTAGGGAGTCTGATCCCCCTAGATTTTCAACACCCTGCTTAGAACTTGCTCTGTCCCAGAACATGTCCATGCAAGGGGGGTGGCATTCTCCATGGAAAGGGAATGACATTCCTTACGATCTGCTCCTAGGGAGGAAAATATATAAACAATCAAGACTTTTAGCTCACCCAGTTGCTCAAAATGAAGATCCCTTTCATTATACTGTTTTCGATGAATCTTAACACCTTAAAGAATCATGTGCTTTATTTTTTTTCTTTTTTTTAAGACTTTGTTTATTTATGATAGAGAGAGAGAGAGAGAGGCAGAGACACAGGCAGAGGGAGAAGCAGGCTCCATGCAGGGAGCCCGATGTGGGACTTGATCCCAGGACTCCAGGATTGCGCCCTGGGCCAAAGGCAGGCGCTAAACTGCTGTGCCACCCAGGGATCCCAGAATCATGTGCTTTATACCAAATTTCTGTCTGGTGACAATTCCTACTAATTGGTTCCTTTCTCAGAATGCGGCCACACCCAGGGGATATGGGAGGCTGTCCAGGCTCATTGTCTCTAATATTTTAATATTATAGTATATAGTATATAAATTAATATATTAATATATTTTAGGAGTGGGGCCCATTGAGTGAGAGCCTTTCCCAGGCTCCAAGATAGTGGTCCTGAGGATCACTGGGGTCCCAGGAATGGCAGCTCTCATGATGTCCTTAGTGATGCTGAGCTCCCCTTTGATTCAGAGCAGAGACACGCCAGGTAAGTGCAGAGCTGCTGCCATTAAAGGATCCAATTCAGGGGAATGAACTTAGGGGGTTTTCCATGTGGGAAAAGAGAAAGTCTGAGAAAGACTTTGGGGCCCTGACATCGTGCAAGGGCTACTATTCTCACCAGAAAGAGAAGAAGATCAGGGTGTGCCTGTGATGGGGACAATGGTACCTGGTGGTCTGGAGTGATTTGGGAGGGACAAGGTTCTCAAAAAGAGGTCATCAAAATGACATGTCAACACCCATCAGAAATCAGAAAGGGGAAATTATGGTTAGCCTGCATTGTCCAAGAACTGAAGATGACTCTGTAGAATCAGTGCTCCAGGTAGGGGCCCCTTGCACAGAACCAGGCAGGAACCCTCACTGGAACCAGTGAGGAACCAGTGATGGCCAGAGCAGCAGAAGAGAGTGATAAAGACAAGCTATGGTTAAAGCCCATAGGTTACATACTGAAGCTAACCATCCCCCCACCTTCCCATGTCTGGAACTTCCACATCCAGCACAGTAGGATAGGGCCAGAGAGGAAGCAAGAAACAGGAAGTGGCATTCTCCTTAAGCTGCCCCTTATGCATACTTTAATATTATAACTTCTAGTTTTCTGTATCAAATCCTCATAGCACCTCTTAATTTCTAGTTTCAATTCACCACCAAGACCATACATAATAGAATGGTGAGCAGTTTATGTTAAAATTCTCCATCTGAAACATATTTATCCATAGCCCCATACTTTGCTCCAGGCCCAGGAACCCTGTGGGAGACACGACCTTAATTGACAATTGGAATTCAGACATCCATAAACTGGCTAACATCCTGTGATCTGCAAAGATGGTTACAGATGCCCCTGAAAAAATATGGGGGGAATAAAGTAAAGCCTGGCAGGATGGGGCAGGTGTATCAGAAGACTAGTGGGTAGAGTACAATACAATGTGGTATAAAAGAAGACAGTAAGTCAGTAAAGGCTTATCATCACTATGGGAAACTCCTGCAAAACAGTGTGTCTTCTGGAAGATGGATCTTTTCTGCTGCCTGGAAGAGGAGAGGAACCCTTGGGTCAGAGTCCAGAAGTGGCCAGGGTTCTGGGTGAAATAAAAGGGGAGTGGACAAAGGAGGCTAGCAACAGGATGGAGAAGATGATATGAATCGTTTAGAGTAAATCAACCCCACAGTACACCATCTTTATGCCTTATACCCCATGCTATAGGTTAGGGAAGTACCCTAACTTGGGGTACTTGGGGAGCAGAGCAAACATTATCTAGACCTGGCAGGCTCAGATACTGCAGTAACTATATCCACATTACAGGTCCAGGATATGTGCTCCTAGGGAATTGAAGATAGAGAAAAGGCCCTGGAGTCACAAAGAAGGCACCAGAGATGTCTAGCACACACGGTATTTATTGGTCCTTGGGATTACTCAGAAAGGATACTCTGTAGAGAGGAGTCACAGAAGAAACCAGGGCCTATAGACCATCCAGTGTGGGGACCAAATTGTCACCATACATCAAATTTCAACATTTATTAAGTACTTCCTATGTACCAGGCCCTTTGCAGGTGCTAACTACTAGTAGGATCACAGACAGGAAGGAATTGGAGAGGTCTTTGGGGACATCAATCATTGGTGTTGAGGAGCACAGAGATTCAAAGGCACTGGAGCTTTAAAATAGATCTGATGCTGGGGATTCCCCTATGTCCTCTTCTGTCACATATGGGTTGTCACCTGCAGTAGGATAAACACAGTGGGGTTGGGACTCTTGGGTTAGCATTACATGCTCTAGTCCTTTACACCTGCCTCTTTTTTTCTTTCACTGGGTCCTCAGGAGCTGGTCTTCCCAGCAGATGTTGCTACTCCCAGAGAAGAATCAGTAAGAAGTCCAAGGGCACCCTAAGGAGATATCATTTTGCTCTCCTGCTCTCCACAGTGCTCTGAAACTCCTGAGACAGTGAGGCCCAGCAGCTAGATAATGAGAGTCAACAGAGGTAGGAATTAGGCACAGTATATAAAGCTGCTCTTTAAAGGGGCACCAATGGGATCCCTGGGTGGCGCAGCGGTTTAGCGCCTGCCTTTGGCCCAGGGCGCGATCCTGGAGACCCGGGATCGAATCCCACGTCAGGCTCCCGGTGCATGGAGCCTGCTTCTGGCTCTGCCTCTCTCTCTCTCTGTATGACTATTGTAAATAAATAAAAAAAAATTAAAAAAAAAATAAAGGGGCACCAATAACTCTGGCCCGGTGGATATTTACCTTAGTTGCCAGATTATAAACATCTAACATCATTAATTACTAACTCCTTCCTGAAATTTCTGCTCCCTTGGTTAGGTGATGAACCATTCTTCTAACACTCCTGCCTCTCTGCTTCTTTGAAGTTTCTTTGAACACTTCTCTTTCTTGCATTTTTTTTAAGTAGACTCTGTGCTGGGCATGGAGCCAGTGTAGGCTTGAACTCATAACCCTGAGATCAAGATCTGAGCTGAGATCAAGAGTCAGACACTCAACCAACTGAGCCATCCAGGAACCCTCTTGCATTTTATATAATAAAAATGAGATAGGAAGTACTGATGCACAAATCGTGTGATGTCTAGCTTTCACTCATGTTGCATGTCCAGTGTGTCAGCAAGATAGCTCTGCTAATTATAGTTACTCAGGGAGCAAGGCTGACAGATCTTTGACACCTGTTCCCATAATTTCCCAAGCAGAGTGAAGGACCCTACTGAATCATACAATGGCTCTTAATGATCCCTCTTGGAAATAGTGAATCACCTCTCACATTTCATTATCCAAAGCAAATCACATGGATAGGGCAGCCCCGTTGGTGCAGCGGTTTAGCGCCGCCTGCAGCCCAGGGTGTGATCCTGGAGACCCGGGATCGAGTCCCACGTCAGGCTCCCTGCGTAGTGCCTGCTTCTCCCTCTGCCTGTGTCTCTGCCTCTCTCTCTCTACCTGTGTCTCTATGAATAACTAAATAAAAAATCTTAAAAAAAAATCACATGGATAATTTCAAAAGAGTTGGACTCTGTGGAGGTAGAAAGTATTCCATAAGTAGACATTAAATAAATGATATATTACTCACTTATGCTAGACACATGTATTGAGAACCTACTATGTGTAAGGAAGTATGCTAGGTCTTGTGGGTAAAAGGAGCTTCTAGCTCCTAAAAGGTTTACAAATTATCCCTAAAGAGGGCCTCTGGGGTGTTAGCAATGTTCTTTTCCTTGACCTAGGTACTAGTTACATGGGTGTTCACTTGATAATCATTGGCTGTACATTAATGTTTTGTGTATTTCTTACATATGTCTGCTAGTTCACAGTAAAATGGTTTAAAAGGAGAGGCAAAGAAGGATATTGGTAATTTGAGGCAAAAACAAGAAACCAATCAATCAAGTAGAAATAATGAGCTTTAATAATGTTTGGAATAAAGAATATTTAGATGAAACTAGTGGGACTCCTGCAACTGAAGAATAATTAATAAACAAGAGCTCAGACTGAGAAATGCTCTCAAGGGCAGTATACGAAAGATTAAACAATGAAAGATTAAACAAAAGAAAAATGATAAGATATAAAGGATCAAAACTGACATCCTGACATCCTGATAATTAGATACCTAGAAAGTGGTGAAAATAGTAAAAGGAGATGAAATGTCTGAAACAAAGAATAGATTGCTAGGCTTTTTTTTTTTTTTTTTTTTTTTTAAATTTTTTTTTTTAAATTTTTTTATTTATTTATGATAGTCACACAGAGAGAAAGAGAGGCAGAGACATAGGCAGAGGAAGAAGCAGGCTCCATGCACCGGGAGCCTGACGTGGGATTCGATCCCGGGTCTCCAGGATCGCGCCCTGGGCCAAAGGCAGGCGCCAAACCGCTGCGCCACCCAGGGATCCCAGATTGCTAGGCTTTAAAGAAAGATGGAATGACTGTTTGACATAGTGCATTGATGACAAATCAATTTTTAAAAAAACATCTCTCTTTAAAAAGCACACATGTCTAGATGCATTATAAGAAAATTGTAAGAGGGATCCCTGGGGGGCGCAGCGGTTTGGCACCTGCCTTTGGCCCAGGGCGCGATCCTGGAGACCCGGAATCGAATCCCACGTTGGGCTCCCTGCATGGAGCCTGCTTCTCCCTCTGCCTATGTCTCTGCCTCTCTCTCTCTCTCTCTCTCTGACTATCATAAATAAATAAAAATTTAAAAAAAGAAAGAAAATTGTAAGAATGTCAAAGACAAAAAGAAAATTCTCAACACTTGCAGAGAGAGCAGTTCCACCTATAAAAGAACAAGAGCAGATCCATCTAGAAAAAAACAAACTGACATCATTCCTATCAACAGCAGCACTTAATGCCAATGGAATGTTACTTGCATAGAATTGAAGAAAAAGAACTTTCAATCCCAAAATGTATACCACAACAAATGGTCATTTTAATACAACATGAATAGTCTCAAACATTTCAACCTTAGATGCTTTACTATTCAAAAAACCACTTCTAAAAATTTTTTTGAAAAGCACCCCTTAAAAAAACAGAGACACATCTAAGAGAGATGTGGAATAAAAGAAAGATCAAATAATTTTTTAAGTTTATTATTAAACTTAATAGAGGCTGAAGCAGAGGCTGAATTTAAAAAATATTAAAAAGCAGAGGCTGAATTTTTTTAAATAAGAAAAATGTATTTAAAACAAACCAAAACTCCGGCAGTCCCGGTGGCTCAGCGGTTTAGCGCCGCCTTCAGCCCAGGGCCTGATCCTGGAGATACGGGATCAAGTCCCACGTTGGGTTCCCTGCACGGAGCCTGCTTCTCCCTCTGCCTCTCTCTCTCTCCCTCTCTCTCTCTCATGAATAAATAAATAAAATCTTTTTCAAAAAATAGCTTTAAAACAAACCAAAACTAAAAATGTAGTTAGTATTAACATAATGGAGGTGCTAGGTAGTGATAATAGGAGAAATGAAAGTATTACAAAGTTCTTGTCTCTTTTTGCAGGGCAGGATAAATAGAGGGATCTATCAGTGTTTTTTAATCAAAGTAATTAAGAGCATTAAGCTATTTTATGAGTATAATTAGAAAATACAACTGTTAAAGTAACAGAATTTGGCCTAGCCTTTAGGAACTGAGAGATGAGAAAAATGAACAAGAATAAAGTATATTAAATAAAGGATTTTAATATGATAGTACATTTTTAATCTAATAATAATTGCAATAAATCAAATGAGCTAAACAATTAATTAAAAAGAAGTGACTCTCAGATTATATCTTCAACACAGTCTAATAAGATCAGGTAGCATAAATGAATATCAAAAGGTTGAAAACCAAATAATGGAAAAAGAGATTTGAGGCAGGTAAGCAAAGATAACTGACATAACAAATTTCACATCTGCCAAAAAAAAAAAAAAATTAAAGGCAAGTGAAAAAACTAGAGCAAGAAACTATAATGAACACGAACATATATCCCCCTGAAAATAAAACCTTAAAATACAAGAACAACAAATGACAGAAATATGCAGAGAAGGACTCTAACAATTGAAAATCTTAAAATTAAAGTGCAGATTTTAACATATCCTCAAAAACTAAGAGCAGGAGCAGCCCTGGTGGCCCAGTGGTTTAGTGCCGCCTTCAGGGGTGTGATCCTGGAGACCCGGGATTGAGTCCCACCTCGGGCTCCCTGCATGGAGCCTGCTTCTCCCTCTGCCTGTGTCTCTGCCTCTCTCTCTCTGTGTCGGTCATGAATAAATAAATAAAATCTTTAAAAAAAAAAAACTAAAAAAAACTAAAAAAAAAAAAACTAAGAGCAGAAGCAAAAAGAAAATAAAGATATAGAAGATCTAAATAATACAAGCATAAGGCTCAAAAAGGCTCAAATAACTACATGGAGATATTCACAACCAACAATATGCACGTTTTTGAGCACACATGGCACATTTATAAAAATAACATTTATTAAGGCACAAAGAAGGCCTCAGTGTGTTCAAATTAATTATCACAGATGTTCTTTGGCCATAATGCAACTGAAGTCTAAATTGGGTGCACCTGGGTGGCTCAGCGGTTCAGCATCTGCTTTTGGCTCAGGTCATGACCCTGGGGTCCGGGATTGAGTCCCACATCAGGCTCCCTGCATGGAGCCTGCTTCTCCCTCTGCCTGTGTCTCTGCCTCTCTCTGTGTGTCTTTCATGAATAAATAAATAAAATCTTAAAAAAAAAAAAAAGAGAGAGAGTCATAAGCATCAAAGACACCAGCTTGGGAAGCAAAGAACACCTTCCCAACAGCCCCTGTCCAAATGTGGCAGCTAGGACATTTCAAATACAAGTCGTTCTTCTCTTATACATGTCATTTTAGAACACAGGAACAAAAGTCTTCCAAATCATCTTATGAGGCTGGTGCATCTTTATTTTCAGAGCCAGCTAAGGATATAGATTAATGTCAGTCATGTCACTGAATCCAACAATGTATTACAAGCATGATTCATTTCAATCAAATAAGATTACTAATACTAGGATAGTGTGAGAGCCTGACCATTAGCTTATTTTATTGTAATGTAAGTGCCTGACATTAAGCTTTTGATTGCCGGGGTATTTATTTCAAAGATATCTATCAAAAGATACATATTGCCTGATATACAACTAGATAAAGTCAGGCTGCACCCTGCCCCCACGCACCCTGCCCCCTTTTAGAAAGCCTTGGGTGACCTAGATAACAGACCCCTTGAGTGACCCTGCTTTTCCCTTCCTATGCTTTTAATTCCAGCTCTTATGTTTTAAATTCACCAAAAAAGAGTGACCTCATGAATTCCGAGGCAACTCTTTCTCAACCCCAATGATGGCAGATCCCCAGGTCTCTCCTGCCCCTCACAACTTCACTGTGTAGCTCTGGGCATGCCCTGTACCCCCCAGGGCTGTGGGTAATAAATTAATAAATCTTGTTTATTTCAAATTTCCCTGATGGTTGTTGCTAAGGAATGAACTGCAGTCATAAGAACCACAAGGGCCAGTTGGGCCCTAACATTGGCTCCTGTCTGAGAAGTGTCTGTGGGAGCTCACCACAAATAATAGGGACCCAGGTGAGTACCCCCAGGCATTCCTAGCTGATTGCATCACCATCATTAGGCTGGGACCACAAAATACCTAGGAATGCAGTGAAGTTTCAAGGTAAGAAAATCAATAATATGACCCTAAAAATCAGTAAACCAAAAAAGAACATTTATATTAATTTCAACTGAATTCAATAATTGCATAAACAATTTGATCAATTTTACCACATGGTAAATATTATAAACCAAAAACCTATAGCAAATATATTTATGGAGAAATTAAATGCATTCCCTTTGCAAAAGGTAGGATAACTTTTATAATTATAAATGTTTAATCTAATATTGGAGGTTCTAGACATCACTATGTTGTCATAGTTTCTTCTGTTGAAGAAAACCAAGGGTTATGAAGATTGCCAGGGAGAGATAAAATGGCTGCATATTAGATAAGACTGAGCCTCTGGAGCCCCAATATTTGAGTTCAAATCCAGACTCTGCCTTTCAAGTTGTGTGGCCTTGGACAGATTCCTTCACTCTTCACACTTCTTCACTCTTCTTCATGTCTGCTTCCCCCTCTGTATCATGGGGAAGCTTCCCCCTCTGTATCAACTTCCAAAAATAAGTAAGTGAATACCTAATTTTAGGTTTTTTTCCAAATGAATGGCGGAAAAATAAAACGGCAGAGCCGGGCAGTAGGTTTGAGAGTGCTTTAATGGGGAGCGCTCCCGGGGGAGGTTCCGTGACTTGGAGAGGTGGCCCGAGTCAGGGAAGTTGGGGAGTGTGGGGGGTTTTAAGCCTTATTGGTTCCAGGTCTGGATCCGGGTGGGTCCCTTGCCAAATTAGGCAAGGGAACACCGTGTCCCTAGGTGATTTACTGGGGGTGGGATAGTACAGACAATGGGGGGTGGTCCCTGGCTGGAAAGTCCTGGATGGAAAGTTTCAGTTTCTTGTCTAGGCTTCGATTTACTGGAGATGATGTGGTGGTCATGACCGCTTTGGCGGGAAGATCAGCCATTTTGACCCAATTTGAGATGTCCGCCATTTTGGGTGCCCCTGTCTCTCAGCCAGTCCAACACCTAAGAAATGTATAGAATGGTGCCTAGTAAATAGTAAGCACCTCAACTGATGCTCATTATCATTGTATTGTTTTCCTCTAGTTCGGTGATTTTGAAATGCAAAGTACTCAAGAACTCATGTCGAAGTTCTTCTCTTTCTCATCTACCACCCATACCATGCTGTCTCTTCCTTTGCACTGTGTCCTTAGTACCAGCTCTGGGATGACTCCCGGGGGCCTCTGGCAATGCTTTCAGGCCTCCTGGTCTTCAGGACAATGGCGCCAGTGATGATACCTGCCATGCCTGTTACCAGGCCCAGGGCACAGACCACAGTCTCTCTCTCTTAGGCACCTGGATCAGTTCCTGGGCCTCTGGGGCACAAAGGAAAGAGTTAGAAGGTGCAGAGGGCAGGAGGTGGCTTCAGATGTAGGGGTATGAAGGGTTAGAAACCATGAGATCACCAGTGAGGTTTGGATAAAGTGACAATAAAACACATGAGACTAAGGAAAGCAGATGCTGCAGAGAGATGGATCCTGGAAATAAAGATGGTTGTCAGGACAGCGTGGGCAAAGGGCGGGAGTTCCATACCCCAGTGCCGAAGGAGTGGCTGGTCCAGGCCCCAGTGCTCCACCTTGCAGTCATAGACGTCTTCAGGGCAGCCCGGATGGCTCAGCAATTTGGTGCTGCCTTTGGCCCAGGGCGTGATCCTGGAGACCCGGGATCAAGTCGCACATCCGGCTCCCTGCATGGAGCCTGCTTCTCCCTCTGCCTATGTCTGTGCCTCTCACTCTGTCTCTCATGAATAAATAAATTAAAAAAAAAAAAAAAAACCTTGACATAGCCGTCTTCAGCCGTGGGAAGGAAGGTCAGGTAGTGGAACTTGTGGAATCTAAATCCGGTGCTGGGCAGGAAGATGGTCTCAGCTACACCTTCAGTGACCATCTGCCCATTGTGCAGCCATGTGACATTGAGCACAGGTGGGAAGAACTTGTCCACGTGGCAAATGAGGGTGTTGGGCTGTCCTAGCTCCACAGGCTCCTTGGGAAACATGGTCACCTCAGGTGGCTCTGAGAAGGGGCAGGACCTGGTAAGTCTGCTGCCTTTGGCTAAATCTCAAAGGTCCCCACCATCCTAGCCCCTATATTCTCCAGGTTAGGGGCCACCTCTCTCATGCCGACCCCCCCCCCATGCCTCCCACATCAAACTCATAGCTTCTTACGCTCCCAACTGGCCTCCTCCAGCCCAACCTTGTTCTTGAATGAGAAGAAAATTCCTCCTTTAATGACTTAGGCACCCAGCTTTGTGGACTGAATATTACTCACTCATGAGAAGAGTTTCCTGAGCCTCCCATTCTCTATTCATTAGAGGGGCTCTCCCATCTCTGCAACTGGGTGGTAGAAAACTGAGCAAGAGGAAGCAGTACTATTTGTGACCCTAGTGTGGTTGGACTGTTGGATCAGGGTGTTCAAGTTCTTCTTTGCCATGATGATGTCAGCAATACCCCTCCAAGCATCAAAGTCGAAGGCGTGAATAAACCCTGGCAGACACCAGACAGTCTCCTTCTTATCCAGGTCCACATAGAACTGTTCATCCTCATCAAACTCAAACACATACTCCCCAGAAGGTCTGTGTGTCTGGGCAAACCAGACATACATTGACACATGGCCCTCTGCATGGAGAAGAAGCAGCAAGATTGGAGAACAGGTGATTATTCAGGAAAGTCAACAGAATACAAGAGCCAACAGTAATAACATGGACGAATAACACAGCAACTGAGAAATGCAAAATAAAAGAAAAGAAATGGGAAGAAACAATGAGAGAAATTACTTACTGAAAATTCAGGTTGTTTCCCTTGTTCCTGAAAACTTAGGCATCCATCACTCCAGTACAATAATAATCACACTGAACCCAATAATAAGGTAATATTTATGGAGGACTTACTACATGTTTAATTTATTCTTTGCATCTTCACACCTCCATGTAAAGCATTCTTTTGCATGTTAGGCAGCTCCAGAGGTTAAGTAACCAGCCCAAGGTAGCACAACTCCTCGTAGAAGCAAGGATTGAATCATCCTCCCCACCCACATGCACAATATCTCAGAATCCTTGTGGGACCAAACATATAAAATGAGTGATAAAGCCACATAGTGGGTTGGGAGAGAGGAGAGAGTGGAATAAAAATCTTTCAGAGTGGAAGTTTTTTTTAATTGTGAAAGAAATGAAAAGATGTCCCCAGTCTTGGTGCCATTTATAGACTTCCAGTTACTTTTTTAGCCTTAGAATAAAAATGGTGGATTATGTAATTTTGCCCACAACACCTTCATTTAAAGCATATTAAATTTTAAAGTATTATCCTTCACACAACATTCACAATTTTTTGTTACTTTGTGTTTTTAAAGGTAGTTACCACTGGAAATAAATGTGTTCAAAATGCCTATGGGATAGAATCTTAGTTTTACTGACGTGTAAGAAGGAGCAAAAGATTGACAACGAAAAAAACCTATTAGTATTACAGTAAAACAATAAAAATGAGGGAGTTTGGGGCCGAGAAAAGGAAAGGAAGTAACTCTGAGGCTTGCTACTCCAACTACCTAATCAGATTCGCCCTGCAGCTCTAACACATGCAGAACCTACCCTCTCCTTGGACGCTTCTACTAACAGGATTCATTGTCTCACACAAATGCTTGGGGACTTCCACTGAATCCAGTGGCTAGAAAATCACTCGCTTACAGAAAAGATGAGAGAAAAAGAAAAAAGAAAAAAACCTGAGTATAGACTTGGCTATACCTATGTAGCTTGTTCACCTCATGGTATCTCATTTTTATGGTTTTTGCGAATTCTTAAAACTAAAGGCCTGTGCATTGTGAAGCAAATTATACGCTTACAGATGTTCATTTTCATTCAATCAAAAAACCCTTTATTGTGAACTTTCATTCTCCAGGCACTCGCGATATAACTCAGAAGACATGGTCCTTGTCCTCAAGCTACTTAAAATCCAAAGAACAAGAGGGCAAAGAAAAGACAATTAGTATACATGTGAATTTATCGCTATCGCGTTATCATAAGGTGTACACAGATGCTATCTGGGACCAAAAGGAGAGAATTAAAATGAGATTGAAGTAAGGCTTCCTAGAGATGTTCTTTATATGACGTTAGCAGTGCAGAAAAAGAAGGAGGTGGCATCTCTAGCAGGGGATGTAGGAGCAGATAGCCATGGGACTTTCTGGAGGACTAAGAATCCTTGGATTTGACTAGAGCTGAGAGGATGTGGAGGAGCCACGCTGGGACATGCTTTGTGTGCTAATTGCAGGTGTTTGAATTTGAACCGTGGCTCCGGGAAAATCATTAAAGGATCTCAATCAAGAGGATAGCTAACATGATCAGATTTGTACTTGAAGGTGGCAGCTGTTAGGGAAGATGAATTGGAAGAGGCTTTTTGCAAAGAGACCAGTAGGATGCTTCAGTAGGCCAGTGGCAAGTGATGAGGGTGTGGATAGGGCAGTAACCTGGGGTAAGGAGAAGGGAGGATGGGCTTGAGTAGCAGTGAAGAGATGAGAAGCCACAGACATCAGTTAGTGCCATGGTAGAAGTAGGGATATGAAGGAACCCAGAATACCCAGGCAATGTGGAGAATTGTGGCATCAGTGATGGAAAAAGTAATGAAGGACAATGAAGTGAGAGAAGATAAAATGTTCTTTTGGGGACATAATTAGTTTGAATTTCTGGGGGATAAAGCAGAGTCAATTTGAGAGCAGTTGAAATAACGGATGGATGCCAGGTTAGACTGTGCTAGTGACATAGACTAGGCGTCCTCATAGTAAGTGAAGTAATAAACTTGGATTGGGTCACCCAAGAAGTATATAAAGTCATCATAGCAGGGTCAGAGTGTGTGGTCCTGCACTCCAGCAAACATTGACATTTTTTAAAAAAAGGATGCTAGGGGCACCTGACTGACTCAGTCAGAAGAGCACAGGACTCTTGATCTCGGAATTGTGAGTTCGAGCCCCACATTGGGTGTCTTTTTTTTAAGACATTGAAAGAGGGAGGACTAACAAGTAGGAAGAAAACAAGAAGGAAGTATGTTCCTCAAAGACAAATAACAAGAGTAAAATTCCAAGAAGGAGGAAGTGGTCATGTTGCAAATATTACTAGTGACACAGGTAAGGTATACAGAGAAGTGACCATTGGTTGTGGATGTAAGGATGCCACTAGTGTCCACACTGAGAGCAGGATTAGAGATGTGAGGAGACAGAAGGGATAAGGCAGAGGGCTGAGGACCAAATGAAGCATGAGAAAATAAAAAACAGGCATTGCAGACTCCAATTGCAAGAAGTTTACTTCTGAAACCTAAGAGTGACAGAGACAGACACTCTCCAGAGAATACAGAGCCATGACTCTTCGCCCATTGGCACTGTGACATGAGGTTCCTGAGACATCTCTCCAGGTTTCAGTCTTTTCATTTCAAGAATGAGAATAACAAATAGCCTCCTGAAAAGACCATTGTAAAATGAAATGAGATTGGGCACTCGGTCAGTGTTCAATACATGGTGGTTCTTACTGTCATCAGAAAAACAAAAAGCAAAAGACCTCACACAAGAGAAAAAAGAAGAAAGAAGAGAGACAGGAGAGAAAAACAGTACCTGCGGGCTACAAATCTCCTAGTCCCCACCAGAACACTCACCGTAATGGCCCCAGTTCCATGGGGGCTCAGCAGGGCAGCCAGGGCGATGGCTTGCAAGATCATGACTTGGATCCGGCTCCTTATGTCTTCCAGGTGCATCTGCAGGCCACTGCGAGCCGGGCAGTGAGGAGAGAAAGAGGCAGAGCAGTGCAGAGAGGAGCTCTGAGTCCAGGGCTCATTTCCCTATCCCGCGGAGGGAGAAGGCGTGGATGTGAAACAGCTCAATGGGGCTCACCCAACCAGATACTGTTAGAAGGAAGGGGCATCTCTGACTGGGAAAGAAAATTATAGAACCGCTGGAAGAGGAGGTGGGACAGCTGTCAGGACTGACATAGCCCAGAAAGTCCCAGCTTGTGTGGGATTTGGGAATAAGGGAAGAAAAACTACAACAGAGACATCGTAACCATCTTTCTCCTCTCCTGGCTGACTCTGTTGGTGGAGCATGTGACTCTTAATCTCAGAGTCATGAGTTCGAACCCCACGTTGGGCATGGAGCCTACATAAAATTTAAAAAATTAAATCATCTTCCTCTTAATGAGATTGTTTTGAAATAGGCATTGAAGTTGATCTTGTATTTTTTTATGAGTAGTAACTTCTGTGAATGGATAACTTTCTTGATTCTTTTTTTTTAAGATTAATTTGAGAGAGAGAGAGAGAATGTGGGTGCACACATAATAGGAGGGGGGAGGCAGATGGAGAAAATCTCAAGCAGACTCATCAGCTGAACATGGAGCCCAATTTAGGGGCTCAAACTCACACCCCTGAGATCATGACCTAAGCTGAAATCAAGAGTTGGACCCTTAATCCACTTGAGCCACCTAGGTGCCCCTTCATGTTTATTCTTAGTATTATGTTGAAATTCATTTGTTATCAAATGATACTATATTTACAATTTTATACCTTTGGTAATTTTACAGGAATTCTTTGATGTTCCCAGGCAAATAAACAGATGGCAAAAAACACTTCATCATTTCATTTCTAATTATTACTCTTTTATTTCTTCTTTTTTTTTTCTTTTATTTCTTCTTATACAGAACTTGGTGATATAAGTCTCTTTTATTTACATCTTCCTGTTGTTTGTTGCTTGGTTGTTTTTTCAGTAGGCTCCATTCCCAATGTAGGGCTCAAATTCACAAGCTTGAGATCAAGAGTCACATGCTCTACTGACTGAGCCAGCGAGGCACTGTATCTTTTTTTTTTAATTAAAGGTTGCATTTTGTTGGGTTTTTAAAAGATTTTATTTATTCATTTGACAGAAAGAGAGCATAAGCAGGGGGAGCAGCAGAGGGAGAGGAAGAAGCAGGCTCCCCACTGAGCAGGGAGCCTGTTTTGGGGCTCCATCCAAGGACCTTGGCATCATGACCTGAGCCAAAGGCAGACATTTAGCCTACTGAGCCACCCAGGCACCCTCCTTAATCATTTTACGTTAATTCTGATGGTAGATCTTTCTCTGATATGCTGTTTTATTACAGAGGGTTTGAAACTACACTAAAGGGGTGTGGAACTGCAGAAAGTTCCACTGGTATTTATTGCTAAAATTATAGAATTTATATTGTTGGTTAACTAATACATTCCTTGGAAAAAGAATTTCTTGTGTTCCAAAGTAATCCTGCATTATAATAATTAACATTTCTTGATTTTTTTACTCTGTACAAGGCTTTAAGAGAGTCACAAATTCTGAGTATCATCCCAATTAGATTTCCCAATAAACCAATGACATAATAATCTTCATTCTACAGAGAGCAAATAAGTCACAATGGATTTTTTTAAAAAAGTCTGGTAGTAGCAGAAAGGGGCTTCCTAAACCTGTGCCTGACCACTTTGCAATAATGCATCCCTGTACCTCATAGAAAACCTAAATTAAATAATTTTATATGCTTTTTTAAAAATATTTTATTTATTCACAAGAGGCACACAGAGAGAGGCAGAGACACAGGCAGAGGGAGAAGCAGGCTCCACGCAGGGAGCCCGATGCAGCACTCGATCCCGGGTCTCCAGGATCATGCCCTGAGCCGAAGGCAGACGCTCAACCGCTGAGCCACCCAGGTGTCCCTAATTTTATGTGCTTTTATTCAATTCATAACACTTTATTTAAGTACTTAATATATTTGTTCAAAATTATATTCGTTTATTATTGTCTTTCTTAGGTTGTATGTTCTGGGGGAGTAAACTTACCTAATTTCAGGAACTCTCTGTATAGTTTGTTAGGACTATTTGGTGTTTAAAAGTTAGCAAAAATATGTACAGATGTTGAATTAAAAAAAAAAAAGGATGGTTCTTGATAACTTCATTGATCTACTCAAAACTCTCAGACCTGAACATTTCTAAAGCATTCTATGTGGATGCTTCCATTTCACCCTCACAGAATTACTGATGTGCAGGTGCTTACCATCTCTGTTTCAAAAATGAAGAAACTGTGGCCCAGAAAGGACACGTAATTTGTGTTATGTTGTACACCTACTTCCATGCATTATGCATTATCTGGTATTAAAACCCTGAGACTTCAGTCCATATCCTTTCTACTCTGAGATCTACAGAATCCCTGAGAGGAAAAGTTACACACCACACATATTGCATGACTGCTTTTACAAGTACCAGGACTAATTCTGAGTTCTGGAACAGACATATTTCACCCATCCCCCCATCCACTTGCCCCCTGGTAACCACCAGTTTGTTCTCTACACCTAAGAGTCTGTTTCTTGGTTGGCCTCTTTTTATCTTTTGTTCATTTGTTTTATTTCTTAAGTTCCAAATATGAGTGAAATTATATGGTATTTGTCTTTGACTGACTAATTTTATTTCATTTAGTGTTATACTCCCTAGCTCCATCTATGTTGTTGCAAATGGTAAAATTCCATTCTTTTTTATGGCTGAATAACATCCCATTGTATATATAAATCACATCTTCTTTATCCATTCTTCTGTTGAAAGGACATTTGGGCTACTTCCATAACTGGCTAATATAAATGAGGCTGCATTAAACATAGGGGTGCATATATCCTTTTGAATTCGTTTCATATTTTGGGGATAAATATTCAGTAGTGTGATTACTAGATCATAGGATATTTCTATTTTTAACTTTTTGAGGGACGCCTGGGTGGCTCAGCAGTTGGGCGCCTGCCTTCGGCCCAGGTCAGGATCCCAGGATCCGGGATCGAATCCTGCATCAGGCTCCCTGCGAGGAGCCTGCTTCTCCCTCTGCCTATGCCTTTGCCTCTCTCTCAGTCTGTGTCTCTCTCATGAATAAATAAATAAAATCTTTTACAGAAAAAATCTTTTTGAGAACCTCCATGATGTTTTCCACAATGGCTGCACCAATTTGCATTCCCACCAACAGTCATAGCAACATTTTTCTAGATATGTCTCCTGAGCAAGGGAAATTAAAGCAAAAATAAACTATTGGGACTGGGACTATATAAAAAAAATTTTTAATCAACTGCTTTTAAAAAAGAAAAATTGAAACCATTATTTAGAACTAACAGAACTGTGTCCTGATTGAAAAACAGATGAGGAAACCTCTTAGTGGAACAGGACATGGAGTTCCATGTAGGGGAGTACAGCAGGCAGGGCAGGTAGGAAACAAATATCACAGACTCCAAACTGGATGGGTCCAGGGGCTCAGAGGCTGAGAGGCAGAGCACAGAGCAAAAAGACAGGCTGGGGAGATCTGAGAGAAATGAAGTGCTGCCTTAGCACAGCCCATGTGGACTAAAAATTGTATAGGGCTCCCTGAGGTTTGTGTGGTAGCTCCCAAAGCTAGCTCCACTCCCCCCTGCCTGAGCAACCAGTTGAACAACTTCAAGTTGGGGCACATGGAGCCCTGAGAAAGGACAAAGACTCTGTCGAGACCATCCCAAATCAACCCTAGTCATCTCTGCAGTGACAGAGATGATGGTCAGACCCCCTCATATCCTCCTCCTTCTGTTAGGAGGGCCTGCTAAGGCCCCTTAACAGCCACTCAGAGAGGCTCCTGAGCAGTAAAAGGAACTTCCTCTGGAGCTTGGACTCCCTGAGCTCAACTCTGAAATGGTGGGATGAGCCTTGTGTTGACATACTCTTCAAACATCCTTCACTTCTGCCACTGTGCAGCATCGCCCTCATTTCTGTGGTCTGGGGAGTTGTGTGATAAATTCATTCTGGATTTTCCATTTATGACACACTTTAAATCACATAGAGAAGCTTTAATTTAAAGACTCCTTCAACAGACAATTTGGACTCCTCATTAGATTCCAGGCAGCTAGCAATGTATAATCAATTCTTTGCTGGCCAGCACTACCCTGATAACAAAATCAGACAAAGACAACCTTAGAAAAGAAAACTGCAGGCTAATGTCCATAAGGAATATATATTCAAGATTCTCAAAAGAGTACAAGCAAACCAAATTCAACAGCATATTAAAGGAATTATACACCATGACTAAGTGGGATTTACCCCTGGGATGCAAAAATAGTTGAACATAAGCAAATCAATCAATGCAATATACCACATTAACAAGATGAAAGGGAAAAACAATACATCATTGTCTCAATAGACACAGAAAAAGCATTTGACATCCATTCATGATTAAACTCTCAGCAAAATAAGTATAGAGGTAACTTAGCCTCAACACAATAAAGGTCATATATGAAAAGCCCACAGCCCATCTTATCAATGGGGGAAAACAGAGAGCTTTCCAAGATCTGGTTCAAGCCAAGGATGCCCACTCTTGGCTCTTCTTTTCAACATAATTATGGAAGTCCTAACCAGAGCAATTAGGCAAGAAAAAGACATAAAAGATATCCAAATCAGAAAATGAGAAGTAGAATGATCCCTGTTTGTGGATAACATGCTTGTATAGACAGAAAACCCTGAAGACTAGACAAAAAACTATTAGAACTTAACAAATCCAGTAAAGTTGCAGGATATGAAATCAAAATAAAAACATCAGTCACCTTTCTGATGAGCTATCCAAATAGAAGCTAAGAAAACAATCACACTCACAATAACAACAAAAGTATAAAATACTTAGGAATAAACTTAACCAAAGACGTGAAAGATTTGTACACTGGAAGTTATAAAACACTGGTAAAAGAAATCAAAGAAGACACAGATAAATGAAAAGACATCCATGTTCATGGACTAGAGGAATGTTCATACTACCCAAAGTTATCTACAGGTTCCATGTCGTCCTTTTCAAAGTCCCAATGGTATTCTTTATGGAAATAGAGCAAGACAACTCTAAAATTCATATGGAATCACAAAAGACCCTGGATGATCAAAATAATCCTAAGCAAGAAAAACAAAGCATCACATTTCCTGATTTCAAAATATATTACAATGCTACAGTGATCAAAACAGTATGACACTGGCATAAATGCAGGCATATGGAGAACAAGTGGAATATAATAGAAAGCCCAAAAATAAATCCACACATCTACAGTCAACTGATACTCAACAAGAGTACCAAGAACAGGGGCACTGGGGTGGCTCAGTTGGTGAAGCGTCTGCCTTTGGCTCAGGGTCATGATCCCAGGGTCCTGGGATCAAGCCCTGCATTGGGCTCCCTGCTCAGTGGAGAGTCTGCTTCTCCCTCTGCTCATGTTCTGTGTCTCAAATAAACAAATAAAATCTTTTTTTAAAGAGTGCCAAGAACATACAATAGGGAAAATATAGTCTTCAATAAATGATATTGAGAAAATTGGATATCCACATGCAAAATAATAAAATAGGACTCTTATCTCATACCATATATAAAAATCAACTCAAAATTGATTAAAAACTTAAATGTAAAATCCAAAATTATAAAACCCCTGGAAGAAAACATAGAGGAAAACCCTCTTGACATTGGTCTGAGTGATGATTTTTTTTTAATTTTTATTTATTTATGATAGTCACAGAGGGAGAGAGAGAGAGAGGCAGAGACACAGGCAGAGGGAGAAGCAGGCTCCATGCACCGGGAGCCCGACATGGGATTCGATCCCGGGTCTCCAGGATCGCGCCCTGGGCCAAAGGCAGGCGCCAAACCGCTGCGCCACCCAGGGATCCCCTGAGTGATGATTTTTATGGAAACGACATCAAAAGCACAGACAACAAGCAAAAACAGACAAATTGCATTAAGCTAAAAAGTTTTGCACAGGAAAAGAAACAATTAATATAGTGAAAGAGCAACCTATGGAATGGGAGAAAATATTTGCAAATCATGTGTCTGATAAGAGGTTAATATTCAAAATATAGGAGCTCATGTAACTCAATAGAAAAAACAAACAAACAAACAAAAAACCCGATTTTAAAAAAACATCAAAGGAGCTGAATAGACATTTCTCCAAAGAAGACATACGGTTGGCCAACATGTATATGAAAAAGTGCTCAACTTTACTAATTATCAGGGAAATACAAGTTAAAGCCACAATGAGACATCATCTCACACCTGTTAGAATGGCTAATACCAAAAGACAGATTAATGATGCTAGGATGTGAAGAAAAGAGAACCCAATACACTGCTGGTGGGGATGTAAGCAGGCACAGCTACTGTGGAAAACAGTATGGAGGTTCCTCAAAAAATTAAAAATAGAACTACCATTAATCCAGCAATCTCACTTCTGGGTATATATCCAAGAGAAATGAAATCTGGATTTTGAAGAGATATCTGTACTTCCATGTTCATTTCAGTATTATTCTCATAGCCAATATATGGGCACAACTTAAATGTCCAAGGATAAATGAATGAATAAAGAAAATATCATGTATATATACACCATGCAATACTCTTCAGCCATTTGCAAGAACATGGATGAACCTGTAAGACATTATGCTCAGTGAAATTAGCCCTGTAGAAAAACAAATACTGCATGGTCTTAAGTAAGATATGTGAAATTCATAGAAATGGTTACTGGGGGCTGGGGGAGGTGAAGATGGGGAGATATTTTTCAAGGAGTACTATATTTCAGTTATGCAAAATGAAAAAGTTCTTGAGAACTGTGTACAGCAATGCGACTATAGTCGACAATATTGTATTGTATACTTGAAATTTAAGAGGGTAAATCTTAGCAGTTCTCAACATAAAAAAAAGAGAGAGAAAGGCAATTGGTAACTGTATGAGATGATGAATATGTCGATTGCCTTGTGAATATTTCACAATGTACACATGTATCAGACCATCAGTTTTTATACCTTAAATATATATATGATTTTTTATTATCAAATACATGTCAATAAAGCTGGAAACATATTTTGGTTTTTTTTTAAGATGTCATTTATTCATGAGAGACACAGAGAGAGAGGCAGAGACACAGGCAGAGGGAGAAGCAAGCTCCATGCAGGGAGCCCGACGTGGGACTCGATCCCGAGTCTCTGGGATCACGCCCTGGGCTGAGGGCGGCACTAAGCCGCTGAGCCACCAGGGCTGCCCATGGAAACATTTTAAAAAACAAAATCAACTCTCTGCTCATTCTCTGACTCATAAGTATTTACTAAGGCTTAGATTAGGTGCTGTTATACAAGTATGAATAAAAGATTAACTTACTTTAAAATGTTCAAGTGTAAAGAGTAGGACAGGAGACAGGGAAAAAAATCACACTGCCTGAGTTATCACATTGTGATAAGATTCTAAAACACACAGAGAATGTATCCCCCATTCTAATGGGTTTCCTACATAGTTTTGTTCTTATACATGCTTTCAAATATGTATTTCTCGCGTGCTTATATTTTTAACATTCCTACACAATGTTATAAAGTATATTGTTTTCTTTTTTTGTCCCTCAGTATAAAGCTTTTAAGATCTGACAAAGGAGAAAAGAGTACAATCATTTTGATTTCTTCTAATGGTGAGATGATATTCCATGGTGCTTGGGCACCTGGGTGGCCGAGTCCTTTGAGTGGCCAGACTCTCGATTTCAGCTCAGGTCATGATCTCAGGGACGTGAGATCCAGCCTGGCGCCAGCTCCATGCTTAGTAGAGTCTATCTGGGATTCTCTCTCCCTCCCCCTGTGTCCTCCCCCTGTTCATGCTTTCTGTCTAAATAAATAAATAATACCTTTAAAGAAAGATTCCGTGGTGCACATCGACAACAGTTTAGGTTTGCTGTCCCAGGGATGATCACACCAACTGATTTCTGCCAACTCCTCCAAATAATGCCACAGCCAGCAGCAGCCCCTACCTGTCCCGTTACGGACCGAGGTGAACATTCGATGTCTAACAAGTTACGGGGTGCTGGGTCTATGGCACACATCTCCAATGTAACCAAGTGTCTTCTGGGTGCTATTCTGACCTTGGAGGCGGTCGGGGTGAGGGCGGTGCTTTCTCCATCTGATGCTTTCTCCATACCCTCCAGGAACCAGTACAAACTAAGAGTGTTTTGAGTCTAATAGATCTGGCTCATTTCTTTCTGAATTTGCAATTCTCTTTCCACTGGTGAGCTGCATTCTGCCTTGCAGGTTTCTACTCCTATAAATTCCCATTCCTACTCCTTACCCACTTCTCTATCAGTCTTTTTATTTTGCTTGTTTCTTAGGAGTTGCTTATATATTTTAGATACTAATCCCATGTCAATTCTAGACATTGCTTGTGTGTATCTAGTCCTTGTCTATTAACTCCTTAGTGGGGTCCTTTGTATAATAGAAGCATTGGATTTTAATATAATTTATTTCATTATCTTTTTGCCTTTTGATTTATGTTTGCTTAAGAAATGCTTCCACGGGGGCAGCCCTGGTGGCGCAGCGGTTTGGCGCAGCTTGCAGCCTGGGGTGTGATCCTGGAGACCCGGGATCGAGTCCCACATCGGGCTCCCTGCATGGAGCCTGCTTCTCCCTCTGTCTGTGTCTCTGCCTCTCTCTCTGTGTCTATGAATAAATAAATAAATAAAATATTAAAAAAGAAAGAAAGGAAAGAAAGAAAAAGAAATAAAGAAAGAAAGAAATGCTTCCACGGGACGCCTGGGTGGCTCAGTGGTTGAGCATTTGCCTTGAGCTCGGGTCGTGATCCTGGGGTCCTGGGATCGAGTCCTGCATTGGGTTCCTCACGGGGAACCTGCTTCTCCCTCTGCCTGTGTCTCTGCCTCTCTCTCTCTCTCTGTGTGTGTGTGTCTCTCATGAATAAATAAATAAAATCTTTAAAAAAAGGAAGAAGAAAAGGCTTCCTCAGCCCCATATTCATTATTATATTCTCCTCTATATTCTTATGTTCACCTCATAGTTTACTCCCCACAGAGCTTTACTGTCTACCAGAGGCGGAGCACCTGCTACGGGCTCAGCGAGCTCCCCGGGACGCCCCACTTCCTAGAGCGATACATCTACACGCAGAGCTCTTCGCGCAATTGGACAGCGCGGCGGGGGTGTTCGCGGCCGTGTCCGAGCTGGGCCGAGTAACTGCCAGGAACTGGAACGTCCAGAGGGAGTTCCTGGCACTGAGACAGAGCGCCGTGGACACAGTGTGCAAGCACATCTTCGACCTGGACCAGGGTTTCACGCTGCAGCGCAGAGGTGACAGGGTCGGTGTGAAGGAGACACTCTGGGAGGAGAGGGCGCAGCTTGGGCAGCAGAGGAGGGGAGCGCCCCAGCACCCCCCTCCCGGCGCCCCAGAGGAAACCAGGAAACACTTAGGTTAAAATGAAGAACAAATCAAGCTACTTCATTTCTTCTCTTTTTTTAAGGAGAGGATCAGACTGCTAGATCAAAGGAAATCTATAGGCTGAATATATTCGGATTCCAAGATAGTATCTCTCAGGATTACACATCCTTTTGACCCAGATGAGAACATGTAAATTCAGGGAGCTCCCATAGCTGGTTCAAGATTTCTGCTCAAAGAATATTAGTTACTGTCACTTACATTTCTGGCAAAAATGTTATAGAGCACGGCCTCTGGCCCTCTTCTGTTCTTCTTTGCTCTTTCTCTACTGGTCATTTACAAGGTCATTCTTAGAACATTGGAATGTTTCATTCCATTTTTCCTACTGTGTTGCCCATCTTCTCCCACTAAGTAGCTTCATAGGTGATAGGACTCATCTTTAACATCTGAGAAGTCAATGTGACAAGAAAACAGCTAAATGCACTGCTCTGGCCATCTCAGCTGTCATAACAAGATTCTCTTTCCCTCCTAGTCCAGCCTAAAGTGAACGTCTCCCCCTCCAAGAAGGGACGCCTGCAGCATCACAACCTGCTTGTCTGCCACGTGTCAGATTTCTATATAGGCCACATTTAAGTCCGCTCGTTCTTGAATGGACAGGAGGAAACAGCGGGGGTTTTATCCACCAATTTGATCCACAATGGAGACTGGACCTTCCAGATCCTGGTGATGTTGGGAATGACCCCTCAGCAGGGAGACATCTACACCTGCCAAGTAGAGCACCCCAGCCTGGATGGTCCTGTCACTGTGGAATGGAGTGAGTTACTCCCTGCTGGCCCTCCAGACTCCAGGATCTGAGGTCCGCTCATTTTGTCTTGTGTCACTACACTATACTACAACTACACTACCCCGTGTTGTTCCTCATCCACCCAACTGTGGTCTTGGCTGGGAACAGTGAAGGTCTAGCAATTCTCCCGTACATTTATCCTGCTCTGGGGAAGTCTAAAGAATCTCTCCTTGTCGAATAACAACAATTCAGAAAGGCAGTCACCTTCATGACTGGCCCTCAGACATGACAACACCTCTCCCTTCGGTCTCTTATGTTTGGACTTAATAGGTTGATCTGAAACTCGCATTTGCCTCCTGTAGAAGTCATCACTCTGAGGCCCAGAACTTTAGAATGCCTTCTGCCTCTACCCCTTTTCCATAGTGCCTCCAAGCTTGGCCTTATCCTCTTTCTTTTCTCTCCATGGTAGATTCGATCAGGCTCCAGGTGTCAAACAGGGCCTTGAGGTTGTGGCAGGTGGAGGTGAGACTCACCCTGACTTCTGTTCCCCAGGGGTACCTCTGATTCTGCCCGGAGCAAGATGCTGGCTGGAGTCAGAGACTTTGTGCTAGGGCTCATTGCCCTCTTGGTGAGCTTCATTCTCCGTTTTAGAAGCCAGCGAGGTAAGAAACTTCCGGAAAGGGGTTGATACTGTCTTTCCATGTCTCACTACTCTTCAGTGATGAAGTTGTGACAGAAAAGCAAAACAAGAGACCAAAAGAGGCCACTGAAATCAGATGCTGATAAGCCAAAGGCAGCCCTGGAGGAAAGAAGATGCCTAGCAAGGTCTGCTCCAATAAGATACCTGAGGCTGCCAGTTACCCTATCCTGCAGGGTGTTCTTTTCAGCCTGGGGTAGACTCACACCTAAAGTGTGACATGGGGACTGTGGTGGAAATTTTTGGATAATTTCCTAAGATGCTGTTGCTCCTTACTCTCTAGATGACCAAATTCATTTTCCCTCAGGATGACAGGGACCTCAGCCAACAGATGGTATTTCTGCTCCCTTCTTCCTTCTTGGGATATAATTCACGTCATTGCAACATAAGACTGGGAGCATTCAATGAGTATGCTGTGTTCAGGATAGATCATAGAAAGTGCCCTAAGAATGAGGAGAAACTCTCAAACACTCCACCTTTCTTGCAAGTTGAGCCAAATTGCCCCCAACTCTTGATGCCATTTTCCTCTTTAGGTGGGTGTGGCCACAGAGCATGACTTTGCTCCATTGCTGAAGGAAACTTCAGAAACTCTCTTCCATTGCTCAGTAGGCCAACATTCAGCCTACCTCTGTAATTTTTTTCTCTCCTGGGACTCTAGAGGGAAAGAAAATGTAGCCTTTGAGCTCGGGATGTTTTAAATTCTTCTTCTGAGGCACCTGAGTGGCTCAGTTGGTTAAGCATCAGCCTTCGGCTCAGGTCATGATCTCAGGGTCCTGGGATGGAGCCCCGTGTCCCTGGGATCAAGCCCTGGGTAGAGCTCCCTGCTCAGTGGGGAGTCTGCTTCTCCCTCTGCTCCTTCGTCCACCCCCCTAGTCTCCACCCCCCACTGGTGCTTGCTTCCATACTCTTTCTCTCTCTCTCTCAAATAAATAAATAAATTCTTTAAAAATAAATGGAAATAAATAAATTCTTATTCTTCTTCGCAGGGTTCCTGAACTGATCTCAAACATCAAGTGTAACCTTGAAACAAGCAGTTCTGCTATTCCTGTTATCCAGTAAAGTCCCACCTCCAGAAAGGAGATTATGGCTAAATTGTGCCCCCCTGATGTCAGTTTCCGAGTCTCAGCATTTTCATTCAATTTACTTCTTTCTCAAGTTCTTCCAATCTATAAAGTGACTTTCCCTGAGGAACATAAACTATCTAAATCCAATATTATTCTCTTTTTTTTTTTTTTTGAGAGGAGGGAGATATAGTCATGTGACCATGTTTATGGTTGAAGGGTTCGATGATCACTGGACAAGTCATTGTTGTTTCACGCAGGCATGGAGAAATAACCTTCTTGATGGGTTATTGATTGACCTTATTGAATAGAAGGCCAACTGATAATGAATCTCCTAAAATTTGCTCTACTTCATTGTAGATGATTAAATTCATGCTGCATTCTTACCAGCGAGGGGTGGAACCATTACTCCTAGAAATCCCAGATGGAACAGACACTGAGCCTGGATTTTCCCATTGACATTTATATAGGACTAATAAAGCATGTCAATCATTAATAATATTCTTTCCAAGTGTAAAAGTCAACATAAGATCAGAATTGTAAATAATAGGTTTATTAGATCATCCAAAACACCTTCCCTTCTGAGTCATTCAGTAGGAAGTACATCTCTAGTTCCAAAAAGGTCAAAGATATATGTATACCAGATTTTTCAGACATAGGCCAGCTTTTAGAATACAGTTCATTATACTTCTTATAAATCTCTTTAATTAATGTTTTAGACTAAGACAGAAATCATATTTTTTTCAGACATTTCATGGTATGGTGTGCCACCTAAGACCATTACTATTACTATATAATAGGATCAGGAAACTAATTCTTGTAATATTTATAGATTAGTATCATTTTTCAAAATGACAGTGCCTTAGCCAAGCTTAAAGAGTTTTTCTGGGCAGCCTGGGTGGCTCAGCGGTTTAGCGCCACCTTCAGCCCAGGGCGTGGTCCTGGAGACCCAGGATCGAGTCCCACTTCAGGCTCCCTGCATGGAGTCTGCTTCTCCCTCTGCCTCTGTCTCTGCCTCTCTCTCTCTCTGTGTGTGTGTGTGTCTCTCATGATAAATAAATAAAATCTTAAAAGAAAAAACAATGCTTATGGGACACCTGGGTGGCTCAGCGGTTAAGCGTCTGCCTTCGACTCAGGGCATGATCCTGGGGTCCCAGGATCAAGTCCCTCATAGGGCTCCCTGCATGGAGCCTGCTTATCCCTCTGCCTCTGTGTCTCTCATGAATAAATAAATAAAATCTTTAAAAAAAAGGAGTTTTTCTTTCTTAACTGACCTTCTACATAAAATCAATTTGATTAAATATTATAAAAGATAAGTTAGTTTTTGGTGATTTTAAATACAAGATAGCCATCTTGTGATCAAATATGGGGCTGTGTCAGGGGTCTCCATGACCACCCAGATTAGGTTATTCACTAGGAGGAATCATATAGTTGTACTCATGGCTTAGATTTATTAAAGCAAAGGTTTACAAAGCAGAGTCAGTCAAGGGAAAAGGTACGTGTGGCAAAGCCCAGAAAAACCAGGTGCAAGCTTCCAAAAGCCCTCTCCCTTTGGAACCAGAGGGCACACTTAATTCCTCCAGCCATGAGTTGTGACTGCACAAATATTGTCTGCCAGGAAAGCTCAGCACGCAGCACTCGGGATTTTTACTGGGACCTGGTCATGTAAGCACCATCTGCCTAGCACATACGAAAATTCCAGACTCACAGAAGGAAAGCAGGTGTTCAGCATAAACCATATTTTTATACAGTTTAGGTACAATTTAGGAACATTCTTATTAGATCTGAGAATCCAAGTTCCCAGATGCCAGGCAGAGGCCACCTTTGTACTCAGGCCAAAAAAATAGTAGATGGACCTGCTGTGTTACATCTTTCCTGCACAGGAGCAAGCCATCCGTTTTGCTGACAATTTTTAAAATAACATGAGTACCCATTTTTTTAAAAAGAGTTTATGTATTTATTCACGAGAGACACACACACAGAGGCAGAGACATAGGCAGAGGGAAAAGCAGGTTCCCTGCGGGGACTCCAATGCAAGACCCGATTCCATGACCTCGAGATCACGACCTGAGCTGAAGGCAGATGCTCAACCACTGAGCCACCCAGGTGTCCCCATGAGTATTCATTTTTATCAAAGAAAGACATACATTGATACAGAATACACCCTTGAAGACTAGTTTTCTGGAAACATGGGTTGTTGCGGAAGACATAGAGTTAAATTCATATAATATTTTTCATTAGTTATTATGTGAAATTATTATTATATTTTATGAATCCTATTAGCATTTAAGCGGGTTTTTAAGAAGTAATCCCTATGCCCAACAGGTGACTCGAACTCACAATCCCGAGACCAAGAGCTGCTCGCTCCAATGTCAGAACCACCCTGGTTTCCTTGGATTTAACAGTTTTTGAATAGCTGAAGTACAAGCAAAGGATGCAGATGAAGGTAATCTGTTCTTTGAAGCTTTTATCTTTTGTTCAATGATATGAGAAATTACACGTGCTTCCTAGCCTGTGATATTTCTGGTAGAGGACATGGGTAGCCCACCTCTCAGTGCCCCAAATGAGAAAGTTAAGTTGTAGTTCATATGTCTACTGTCAATTGCCTTGGAAAAATGAGAAAGGCAATCCACTTAGTGCCCAAAGAATTTCACATGCAAGAAGTTTGACTCTGAATGAGCCTGTCATTGCCTGCACTGCCTAAAATAAGAGACATTTCACTACTTCAGATTTGTCAACAGAGGACTGATAAACCAGCATTTCTAAAGCCTAATAGTTAATTTAATATTATCTTGAGTCATAATTAAAAGCGACTTAGTTTTAAAACATTTGCCTATTATCTTAGAGTCCTAAACATTTCACCCTCTGTTTATTTTTTTAAAATATTTTATTTATTCATGAGAGACACACGAGAGAGAGAGAGAGAGAGGCAGAGACACAGGCAGAGGGAGAAGCAGGCTCCGCGCTGGGAGCCCGATACGGGACTCGATCCACAGACTCCGGGATCACGCTCTGAGCCTAAGGCAGATATTCAACCTCTGAGCCACCCAGGTGTCCCTGCTTATTTTTTTTAAAGATTTTATTGATTTATTTGACAGAGACAGAGCACAAGCAGGGCGAGAGGGAAAGGGAGAGGGAGAAGCAAGCTCCCCATGTAGAGCCTGATATGGGGTTCAATCCCAGGACCCCAGGATCATGACCTGAGCCGAAGGCAGCCGCTTAGCCAACTGAGCCACCAGACTCCCCTCACCCTCTGCTTATAGAGCAGAACCAATACATTAGTTTAGGGTTTGACAAGGAGGAGGGGGGTCTCTCTGATTTTCTGTTTGCCAAGAATTCCTCCTCACATGACGTCATCAGAGGACAGTCAAAAAGCCTGAGTTACTTAGAATTCTAACTATTGAGTCAGGTTCTGAAGCTTGCCCTCTTGAGGGTAGAGGATTGTCATTTGGAAATATAATAAGAAAATTTCTTTTTCATAACAGGTAAATTACTTAGTGCTTCTGTCCTTTCCTTCTTTTTAAAAAGCCTACATTGACGCTTTATTGAAACAGTTCTACTGAGTTTAAGGCTTCTTTCCTTAAAAAAAAAAAAATTAAATAGGCTCCACACCCAAAGTGGAGCTTGAACTCAAACCCTGAGACCAAGGGTCCCATGCTCTCTCTACCTGCTGAGCCAGCCAGGAACCACTGACTGCACTGGCCAGGCACCAAGGGTTCTTTCTTGGATCAAATGAGTGAGAACTCAAAGCAAGGAGGGGAAAAAAAAGAAAAAAGATACTTCTCAGTTTGAAAGTCCCGGTTTATCTTTCTACAATTAAATTAGGAGGAAAAAAATGAAGAACGCCCTGGTAGCAGGAAGAAGCAAGAGTCTTCCAGGGTCTGGCATTTGATGAGCTAGATAT